GACACCTTTGAGTAAAGGAGGCATGGAGAGTCAATGTTGGAGAATAGGCGTGAACTGGTATGGTCTCAGAGAAACCAATGTGGATGGTGAGCTGAGGGTTCCGTGGAGTTAGTGCCTGATACTTAGCGACATCCCACATACCTCAGCTCGCTGTGTTGTGTTGTTCAGCTGGGAAGAAGACAGGAGGCCAGGACAAACGGGCTCAGTAGAGCTGCTTGGCACAAGAAGGGGCCCTTAGTAGTGCCTTCCCTACTGCCTCTGGGTTCACAGGCCTCAAAGCCCCTAGCATTCTGCAGTGCTCTATAGGTTCCTCCCAGAAACTTGGGGATTTTTTTCTTGTTTTGAGGTTTTTTGTTTTTGTTTCGAGACAGTCCGCTTCAATTGGATATATAGCAGATGGTGACACTGAACTCCTGATCTTCCTGCCTGTCTTCCAAGTGCCACTATTAGAGGTCCTCTCCATTATCCCTGGCTTCCTTTCCAACTGTTTGAACCAGATTTATTAGTTCCAACCTTCCAACTGGCTAAATGGTTCCAGTACTTTCTCACTTCTCACTTACTCTTCAGTGACACTGGTGCTTGGAACAGAAGGAGCCCCTTTCTGGGGGGAACAGGTGCCCCCAAAGCCTTAATGAGCTATGATTTTCTTCACTCTATCCTTGCTTCTATATCCAGGGATGGATATGGCCCCTTCCATCCCCAGAAAAAGGCAGAGCTCCTCCTGCTAATTCTTTGATGGGGAAACCGAGGCCCTGTAGATGAATTCCCCCCTCCCAGCACAGCAACTGGGGATGAGCTCCTACCTAAACACACGGAGAATTTGGTGGATCATTTCCCCAGACTAAGTGTGCTAAGTGGCCCAGGAACCAGCAGAGGGTGGTGGGAGATGAGAGCTGAAAGTGAGTGAGTGTGTGTGTGTGTGTGTGTGTGTGTTTGTGTGTGTGTGTGTGTGTGTGTGTGACACTTCAGACTGGGAACAGCAAACAGCAGCACCTAGGGGATTAGCAGCCTGGCCCTGGGGCATTAAGTCTCCTTGGAGCCTCTAGAAGCCCCTTTTCAAGGCTGAGGAGGGATGGCTCTCTGGCCTCCTCTGTGGTCAGCCTCCTGAGCTTGGGTTGACTGTGCCTCCCCCACCCCCATGCAGTGCCCCCCTGTCCAGCATTGGGCCCTCTCCTGCAGACCAGCGCCCACTTTGGCTACTGCCTTCTTGCCAAACTCCTGCCTCACTTGCAGATTTATCCATTCCTCCAGCGGTCTGGACTGACCATTCTAGACTAGCCCTGACAGGCTGCCTCCAGCCCATGCCACCCCCAGCTCATCCTTCAAGCAGCCTGCTGCTCCAAAGAGTGATTCCAGGGCCAGCACCTTGGAGGGGCAGCTTCAGGGCTCTAGCTGTTCTTAACAGGGAAGTTGAGTTTAGAGGATTTGCTCTGCCTTTCCCCCTGCGCGCGCAAGCACACACACACACACACACACACACACACACACACACACACTTCCCACCAAAGTAGCATTCCACTCCTAGTGTGATCTCACTCTCAGCAGGCCTGAGGGCAGCTGGCAGGTAGACAGACCAAGGAGACAGACCTCAGTTTGAGTAAGTGATTATGAAAATAGCCCCTGGTTAGCAGCTGCCCCAGGTTGACATCAGCCCACCCAACAGATGGGCCAATCAAGGCAGAGCCCTGAAAGACAGGAGTGTGGTTTTGCCTGGCTCCCTGCCATCTGGGGGCACAGTCTCAGTCAGAAGTCCTCAGCTTCCTTCTGAGTGGTGGGACCTTCCTCTTCTGACTTCTGTGCATGATGTCTCCACCCCCCTCCTTTTGTCTCCTCCTAGCTCCTTTGTGACCTACACCCTACTAGGTGCCCTATGCCCACTGCCAGCTCTGCCCTTGCCGTCATTGTCTGAGGTATTTGAACCCCAGCAGTCAGCCTGGCTCTGGCTCTCCCCCACCCCCGGCCATTCTGAATCCCTGAGGCCTCATTATTAGGGTAATGGTGACCCTCCCTCCCCCTCACTGTCTGGCCTATCTGGCCCTGGCACGAAAGGTAGAGTTTTGGCAGAGAGCAGAGGCTCGGCCTGATTCCAGCAATCGTGGTCTCTGCAGTGTAGATAGAGCCTGTAAAGTGTTTGGGGCTAAGAGGCCAGGGGAGCCACTGGGCAGCCCCTGTCTCTAGGACAACAGGGAGCCCTGGAGGGGGTGAGAGAGCAGGTGGCTCTTTGTCTGGTGCCTGATCCCAGCCCCCTACTTCATCTTCCTCTGCAGGCAGCCCTGAGGAGGCCCCTGGGAAGGGAGTATGGGCTGTGTTCCCAGCATGTGCAGAACCACTGGACTTCCTCCCCTAGTGAGGCAGAGGAGGTCCCCTGATATGCAGGGGACCCTTGACCCCTGCAGGACCCAACAGACATCTTCCCAGGACCTACAACCCAGTCCTGAGGTCAGCATGGCATGAGCCCAGTCAGAGCCAGGCTAAAGGGTCCCTGTGTAGAGAATCAGGGCTGGTCCTTGTGGATTAGGGTAGTGGTCTCCTGCACCAAAGCTACATCGACTGTTAGCAGTTTCAACCTTCCCTCTCTCTGGTCCCCTCCCTCTCTTCCTCCTCTCCCCTCTCTCTGCTCAGTTTTCACATCTGAGCAGTAAGGAACCCAGACTCGCTCTGTTTAGACCCCATTCCTATTGAAAAACAAAAACAAAACTGTTTAGGGGATAGGGTTCCTGGAGCCTCACCTCTCCCTGGTTAAGAGTACCTGTTGCTCTTCCAGGTGACCTGGGTTCAATTCCCAGCACCCAAATGGCAGTTCACGACCGTCTGTAACTCCAGGCACACATGTACTGCACAGATATACATGCAGGCAAAAATTCATACATATAAAATAGAAAATAACTATTTAAAAAAGAAATTCTCTACATAAAGAACATTAAACAGTGTTTAACGCATGAACACATGTCAAATATCAGGCGTTATAACTAACTCTTTTTTAAAAATTATATTTAATCGGGTGGTGGTGTCGCATGCATTTAATCCCAGCACTCAGGAGGCAGAGGCAGAGTGGATCTCTGTGAGTTCGAGACCAGCCTGGTTTACAGAGTGAATTCCAGGAAAGCCAGGACCATTACACAGAGAAACCCTGTCTAGAAGAAAAACAAAGATAAATTACATTTAGAGTGTGGGTGTGGGTATAATGTGTCTCTGTCTCTCCGTCTGTCTATATACAGCATAAGTGTGAAAGTCAGAGGGCAACCTATAGGAGTCAGCTCTCACTTTTCTGCTATATTAGTTTTGGGGATTGAACTCAGGTCATCAGGCTTAACTTCAAGTGCCTTTACCTGCTAAGCCATCTCCTTGGCCCCCTGCCTTTTTTTAAAAAAATCCATTTTTAGCTAGACGTGGTGTCATATGCCTTTAGTCCCAGCACTTGGGAACTCAGTACCAGCCTGGTCTAGAGTCAGTTTCAGGACAGCCAGGGAGAAACCCTGTCTCAAAAAAAGCAAGCAAAAGTCTGTTGTTGTTGTTGTTGTTGTTGTTGTTGTTGTTATCATTACTACTATTATTATTCTGTGGCAGGGGACTTGTGTGGGAAGATCAGAGGATAGCTTTTGGGAGTCAGTTCACTCCTCCCTCCAGGGATCGAACTCAGGTTGTAGGGCTGGCTTAGCAACTGTTACCTGTTGAGCCATTTGTGAACCCTTACGTTTTCAGTCTTGAAGATCCTTTTGAGTTTTCTGAAATACTTGATGGTAATAAACAAATAGGTGTCATGTATACCTGGTGCTGGGGGGAGGGCGTGATCTGAACATGGGCCTTCTTGGAGTTTTCTCCTAAAGAGTTCTGGGGAGAGCTGAAGTGTCCCTGGCCGTGACTTCTGGCTATCAGTCTTAGATTGTCTAGAGACACTGTCTATAGAACCTCCTTTCCCCAAACAGCCTTTGTTAACCTTATCCAGAGAAAGGGGCAACATGGGTTTGGCCTTCCAGCAGCACCCCTATACATTCCCAAAGTCCATTGTGATTTAGTGCCCCCTATCCCTAACTGGGTCAGAAGCCCCTTTGACCAGAGTACTTTTGGTACCACAAGAAAGGAGGTGCCATTCTCTGGCAGGATATAGAGAATTAGTACCTGTCAGTTTGTCTGAACATCCCATTTATTCACCCAACAAATGTTGATTAAGTGCGCGTAAGGCAGACACAGTGACAGGAGGCACTGGCCTGGGAGGAGTTGTGGCTCTGGGATACAGACAGGTTGGGTGGGAAGCCTGGCTGCTACCCAGGGCACAGGGGAGTGTCGGGGGATTCAAGAGAATGGTGTAAGATGCTCATGTGCCCACACAAATGCAGAAGTGTATACCCCTATCCCCACCCCAAAACCAAACAACAGAGAACATGTCTTCAGTGAGTGAGTCGGCCACCCATGAATGGGGTGTGAATAATACCCTGGGACGGGACATGAGGAAACTGGGTACCTCCTGCACAGGAGAGGCTCAGATCCCAGAAGTCCTTTGACTCCTCCATTTACTGAACTCCAGCCCTGCTTTCCTTCCCAAATTAGAAATGGAGGGAAAGGCTTGTGGAGAGCTATAGCCAGATGGCAGCGTGAAAGGAAAATCGGCTGGCCATGGTGGGGCACGCCTTTAATCCCAGCATCTGGGAGGCTCAGGCAGGCAGATCTCTGAGTTCGAGGCCAGCTTGGTCTAAAGAGTGAGTTCCAGGACAGTCAAGGTTACACAGAGAAACCCTGTCTAGAAGAACTAAATTATCATCATCATCATTGGATCATGGTGCATGGGTCTCACAGAAAGGTTACTTTTAGAAACAAAATAAAAGACCACAAGAGAGTAAAAGAGAGAGGCTTTCTTCCTCCCTGTCTGTTTTCTTCTCCTCAGGAGGTAGTTAGATTGGATGGTCCTGACTGTGTCCTTAGAAATGTCCCCATGGGCCCAACATCAGCACTGGGTGGGAAGGTGCCCACTGACTCATCTACTTTCTATGCTTCACCCTCAGTTTGACCCTAGGAGCACCGGCTACATCAGCACAGGAAAATTCCGGAGCCTCCTGGAGAGCCACAGCTCTAAACTGGACCCACACAAAAAGGAGGTGCTGCTAGCTCTTGCTGACAGCCATGCAGATGGGCAGATCTGCTACCAGGACTTTGTCAACCTGGTGAGAATTCTGGAAGGGGAGGGGCTTAGACACTGGAAGTAGCTTCTTGACTGACAGTGCTTGGGCAGCCACAGCTTCAACAAGTGAGAGGGTACTGAGGGAAACAGCTCTCACCTCAACGGGGGAGTAGGACACAGTTTGTTCTGGGGCAGTGTGAGTGACCATGGCCTGAAACCATGTCAAGTACCATGTTTCCAGGACACAGTTTCATAGAGGTTTTTATAGCAGAACAAAGACAGTTACAAGCCATGACATTTTTTAAGAAATACATTACGTGAAAACTTCAGAGAGATGGGCTAACCAAGATGGCGGTCTCTTCCCTATAGACTTCAGATGCTGTCACAGAAGTGTGTGTGTGTGCGCACACACACACACACACACACACACACCACCTCAGATTCTGTCCAGTGATTTTCTCAGCCTTGGATCGATGGAAGTTAGTGGTCTGCTAAGTTAATACATTCCAAAAGGGCTGGGTTAGTGGTATATAACTTTAGCCCCAGCAGAGGCCAGCCTGGTCTACATAGTTAGCCAGAAATACACAGTGAGACCCTGTCTCAAAACAAAAATGAAAACAAACAAAACAAAATAAATTCTGTTAATCATAGCATAACTGGAGGCCGGAGCTCGTAGAACTGCTAGCGATTGTCCCTGTTCATGGGAGGGCGCATGAGCTCTGTCTGTTGTCTGTTATCTGTGGTGGAGACACCCCCCGCCTTCCTGAGGGTTGATACTGTTCTTTCAGAGGGTGCTGTGGGTGGGTACACATTTCCCTGCTTCATGGACGGGACTTCAGTTCAAGCTACAGGAACTAGCAAGGTGAATACAGGGTAGGATGTCGCCACTGTTTCCCCATTGGTGCTGCTGTCTGATCTCTTCGTGGCCCCCACAGAGGAGAAAGAACTCTGTGACGTTTCCTGTGTTCTTAGACACTGAAGGCCTCAGGCAGGGCCAGGGAAGCCTGCTGTCATCGTCCCATCTTAGCTCTCTGAGAAGTGGCTGCCCAGAAGCTCTCAGCTTCAGGTTGCCAGTCTGTGGGCTTGTGGAACAGCTATAGACATTCAGGAGTAGAATAGAATTCCACTATTGTGAGTAGACCCAAGGAGCAGACCTGGAAGCCTGGGCCCAAACTGAGCTCGGACAAGCTGCTCACAGACAGGGCCACGGAAGTGTCAACCTCACCAAGAAGCAGATCATGAGCCTGGCTCAGGCTTGTGCCCCGCCCAACCCATATGCACCATTTGCTTGCCCAGTCTCAAAGCCCAGGCGAGGTGTTTCCTGTCTGGCTCCATTCCAGTGGAGCCCTCTGTGTGAGCTCATGACATGATCTCGTCACATTTTTCTGTCCAGACTCTGAGCTGGAGCAGCTGATCACAGCCTGCACTCATGTAAAGAGGGCCATCTTAGAGCTTTTGCTGCCAATTCTGTGCCTCTCTTTTCCCATTTGTAAAATGATTCCAATGGTTCATACAGGGTTTTTACAGGGACTGAACATGAAAAAGGACCATATTTGCACGTTTCTGCTTTATCTTAATGTTCTTCTGGGGGAAAACCTCCCTGCATGGTTGCCATGGCCCTCCCTTTACCAATCCACACAGAACAAATCACCCTCATCATAGGGTGGCAATAGTTAGAACGACTTCACTGAGGCCAGCCAATCAGAGGAGGCTGGCTCGATGCCACATGGGGAACAGCAAGGAGCAGGACTCAGGAATGAGCAGAGGGCTCTACAAGGGAGACTGTGCTGCACAGTCTCATCTAAACCTGGATCCTTCCAGGTGCGCTCCAGAAAGAGCCTCAGACCCCTGTGCCCTGCTGTTAATCCTCACTGGGTCTTGCCTTTGGGTCTGGCTGCATTATCTCCTGCTGAGCCTGGGGTCTGAGAAGTACCTACATGCCAGTAGCTATGGGCCCCTAGGCCAGGAGATCTGGGTCTTTTGGGCTTCTCCCCCTGGGAATAGTTTATAGTATGATCTTGGAGAGAAAATCAAGGATGGTAGAAGCTTCCTGAGGCTGGAAGAAGGGCTAATTGCTGGGTAAAGCAGACCATTCTATGGGGGCCAGGCCCAGAATGCTGAGGGCAGGACCTGGTCTTGGGTGAGGCCCTGGGCTCACTAAGGATCACATGTCTCAGGAGACACTCAGGTGTCATGGCCTCCATGACATTGGGTTATGATTCTGGCAGTTTCTAACAGCTAGCTGACCAAGACCTGCTTGCACCTTCCCAAGCTGGTATGTCTGAAGATGCTCACACACCCCTGGCCCACAACTGGCCATCACCTTCAGGAAAACCCTTGATGATCACCTTGAGACACATTGGCCTGGAGCATGTGCCTTACCACAGCAGCTGTCGCTCTCAGCTGTGACTGCTGGTTTCCTCCCTGGCCGAGGACCCCCAGCTCCAATGTTTGGGGATGGGAGGATAAGGAATGAGTGGGTAGGAGGAATGTATGTGTACAGGCCTGGGTTTGAACCTGTGTCTTAGGTATTCTCTGTACCTCAGTTTCCTAATAGGTGGAAGATATATCCAGAGTCCTTTTCCAATGGAGATGATCTGGGAGGTCAGAGGTCAACACAGTGGCATTCAGGGAATGCTACTCAGAGCTCAGATTGCCCTAGGGAACACACAGGCTGAAGTGTGGGCATGGTGCTCCCAAGGCTGGCTCTGACTCTCTCCCCACCCCATTTCCTGTGCAGATGAGCAACAAGCGCTCCAACAGCTTCCGACAGGCCATCCTTCAGGGCAACCGCAGGCTGAGCAGCAAGGCCCTGCTGGAAGAGAAGGGGCTGAGCCTCTCACAGAGGCTCATCCGCCATGTGGCCTACGAGACTCTGCCCCGGGAGATTGACCGCAAGTGGTACTATGACAGCTACACCTGCTGCCCTCCGCCCTGGTTCATGATCACAGTCACCCTGCTGGAGGCAAGGACCAGGGTGGAGGCAGGGGCTCCCTAGACCTGGGGTGGTGTGGGGGAGAGGATGTCAGAGGTTCTGAGGGGAGAGGGAACACTGCAGATCAAATAAATAGCAGTTGTCCTGCAAATCAGAGCCTTGCTAGGGAACCTGGAGGTTATTATATCTTGGGCTGCAAAGAGAGTCCAACGTTTTGGAGCTTTGTTTTGTGTGTGTGTGTGTGGGTGGGTGGGTGTGGGTGTGGGTGGGTGTGTGGGTGTGTGTACGTAAGTGTGCATGTGGGGAGTGCACACTGAAACCCAAAGTGTGTCAGATCCCTTGGATGTGGAATCACAGGCTGTTACCTTGTGTGGTAACAACTCCTCTAGGAGAGCAACAAGGGCCCTTAACTACTGAGCTATCTCTCTAACCTCATGTTTGCTTTCTGGGTTTTTCGGTTTTGTTTTTTGTTGTTGTTTGTTTGAGACAGTATCTTACTCTATTCTCAGGCTGATTGGATCTCACTAAGTAGCCCAAACTGGCCTCTAAGTCTTGATCTCCTAGCCTTGGCCTTCAGCTCCCAAGTTGGCCTATGCCCGTTCTCTAGCCTAAACATTATCAATGTGCACTCTCCCAGGCGAAGATTACTTGGGGCATTTTTTTTTTTTTTTTTCTGCTGCAGCAAAGTCCCCATATTTCTTCACTCTTCAAAACAGCAAAACAATGTGACAAACTCATGGATTTGGGGATTTAGCCAGACAAACTCAATAAAGCCAATTTATGTAACTCCTTCCTCCTCCCCCTTCCCCCAAGGCTAGAATGACAGCTGTTAGCCACTTGGGACTTAATTTTCAAACTGTAATGCAGGAGTCACCAGAACTTCCCTGTGCTGTCATTGGAAGGACATCTCTATAGAGTGGAACACAGAAGCACACACTTGCCTCTAGGAGGAAGTGTTTGTGAACAAGACAGTGAAGTTTTTAAAGAACATTCCCTCTTTAGGGAATATGCCATACATTGTTTAAAAATAATTATAGACCAGTGCTTTTCAAAAACAAATCATTTCAACCAAGAGCCATTCCTTTATTTATTTATTTATTTATTTATTTTTTACCACTTTATTATTTGTGCACGGGTGTGTGCCAGCTTGTGAATAAGAAGAAAGCTTCAAATCCCCTGGATCTTGTTGGCAGTTGTGAGCCTCTGATGTGGATACCGGGGGTTGAACTGGGGTCCTCTGATAGAGTAGCCAGCCCTCTTAGCCATACTTACTATCATACAAAAAAAATCCTGCACACACAAGGTACTCTGCTGTGTCTTGCCCCTGTGTAGTAGAACTCACTTCTCAGTTCATCAGGAGCCCCAATAGCCCAGCCCACCTCTGGCTGCTGTAGGGATGCCTGGCTTCCCTTTGGCATTTTCCAGTCTCTGGCCATTACCACCTTTGCATGAGGTCTCATGATGCTCCTACTTTCTCAACTAGCCGGGCCACTCAGTTTCATGGCATCCTTTTTTATTAAATCAGAAGTAATTGGTCTGGCTGGGCTCAGTGACTCATACTTGCAATCCCACGAAGGGTCACCATGAATTCAAGGGCAGGCTGAGCTACATGAGATCTTGTCTCAGAAAATAGTACTGGAGATATGGCTTGGTGATTGAGAGTGTTGGCTGTGCTTCCAGAGACCTGAGTTTGATTCCCAGCAGCCACATAGCAGCTCACAGCTGTCTGTACCTCCCAGTTCCAGGGGATCCAACTCCCTCTTCAGGCCTCTGGATGGCACCAGGCATACATGTGATGCACAGATATGTGTGCAGTCAAAACATCCACAGAAATAAAATAATAAAGAAAAATAGTTTAGCTGGGCAGTGGTGGTGCACACCTTTAATTCCAGCACCCAGAAGGTGGGGGCAGGCAGATCTCTGTGAGTTTGACACCAGCCTGGTCTACAGAGAGAGTTCTAGGACAGCCAGGGCTACACAAAGAAACCCTGTCTCAACCCCAGTCCCCCCAAAAAGAAAAAAAAATGTAAGAATCTCTAAAAACCAAAGCAAACAAAAACCAGAAACAAATAACAACCTACCCTCTCTGTTCTGCATGTAGAGAACTGTTTGTTGTGATTTCAATGGTGTTTTCCTGAGATTTCCTTAGCTATGTTCTTCACTGCTTACTGGGTGGGACTATTTATTAACTCCTATTTGAGGACCAAGAACAATGAGATACCTTGGAGGCTCCACTTGTTGCCAGGACACCTGCATGGCATTATATAGAAAAAACAACCGTGTGAGTGTGTGAGTGTGTGTGTGAGTGTGTGTGTGAGTGTGAGTGTGTGAGTGTGAGTGTGTGTGTGTGTTTTAGATAATCACACTTCTGCTGGCCTCTGTTCCCAGCTGCCTAAGCAACTTCTTGGAGAACAACAGGGCATGTATGTATGTAGCGTTTATAGTCTAAAGCTATGATCCTGAAAGCCCAGCCTGACCTTAAATATAGCTTCCTTCCCTGAGTGTGTGCTGCTTTGAGGTGCCCCTTTATGTTAAACTTGATAGTTTGCTATTATTGTTATTTTGTCAATTTAAAGTTTTAAATTGCATTTATTTACTTGTTTACTTGCTTTGACTGTGGAGAGAGTGCATGGCATGCATAGGGCCCGTGTGTAGACGAGAGGACACTTGCAGGAGTCTGTTCTCTCCTTCCACCATCTAGATTCTAGGGCTGAGCTCAGGTTGTCAGGCTTGTTGACAAGTGCCTTTACCCACTGGACCATCTGCCCCATCCCCACCCCCACCCAATTTTAAAAAAAAAATACCTCCTTTAGTTATTCAAGACAGGGTTTTTCTATGAAGCCCTGACTGTCCTGGAATTTGTTTTGTATACCCGGCTGGCCTTGAACTCACAGAGATTTGCCTGCCTCTGCCTCCCGAGTGCCAGGATTAAAGGTATGTGCCACCACCACCTGGCTGAACTTTTTTCAATTTTTATTAAATGTATTTACTTTATGTAAATGAGTAAGCATATCTGTAAGGAGTCTTGTCCCGCCGCCACACCAGCCCCAGTTAACACACTGAGACTCTGTATTTGACATATCTGTGTACCACATTCGTGCAGTGTCCACGAGGACAGAAGAGAGTATTAGATCCCCTAGAGCTGTAGTCATAGATGGTTGTAAGCTGCCATCTTTGTGGGTGTTAGGGACTGAACCCAAGTCCCTTGTGCCTTGTTTAATTTACTTATTTTGATTTTTATGAGTGTGTGTGCACCTGTGTGTAGATATGGGCTGGGAGCTCATTTTGTTCTTTTAAGAAAGAACGTACTGGTGCAGGGCATACTGGTGCATATCTTGAGGCCTGTACTCAAGGCAGAGGCAGGCAGATGCCTGATTTACAGAGTGAGTTCCAGGATGGCCAGGACTACACAGAAAAATACTGCCTCAAAAACAAAAATAAATAAATAAGAGAGAAAGATAAAAGAAAGGGTCTCACTCTTCATTCCAGCTACCCTCAGACTTGCAGTGCTCCTGGTCCTGCCTCCGGAGGGCTAGGATTACAGCTGAATGCCACCATGCTCAGCTGCAGGGTCACTTTGAAACTTGTGACCACTGGGCAGTCTAATCATTGGCACCCATTTTCAGATATGGAAATCGAGAACCAGATAATTCGAGTAATATGTCTAAGTTGGCCCAAAGGATGTCCAGCTTGTCTCAGATTTTGAAAATGAATAGCTGTATGAATTTGAGCCATCAATATAGAAAAAAGGGAAGGAACTCAAACAGCTGATTTAACTCTTTTGGAGCCCAAGGCTTCTGTTTTCCATGGAGCTCTAGTAGCTGGAGTCTTTGATTCCATAACAGACAGGAAATGAAGGAACACGGAGCTGCCAGCCAAATCCAACAACAGCAGCACTACAGAAACCACAACGGGTAGCAACAGAAGAAACGAAGGGTCAAAGTCAGGGACATTATGTTTGCAAGAAAAAAACCTCACCCGTCTGGATTTCTACACTGTGTTAGCCCGGCCTGGTGCCACAAATTTTATTTTGTTTTTTGCTTTTGAGACTGGGTTTCTTTGTGTTGCAGTCCTGGCTGTCCTGTCCTGGAACTTGCTCTATAGACCAGGTTGACCTGAAACTACTCACAGAGATCCATCTGCCTCTGCCTCTGCCTCTGCCTCTGCCTCTGCCTCTGCCTCTGCCTCTGCCTCTGCCTCTGCCTCTGCCTCCCAAGGGCTGGGACTAAAGGCATGTGCCACCTAATCTAGTTTCAAATAATAATAACTTTAACAATTTAAACTTAGGATTACCATATAGTAGCAATTCCATTCACTTCAGAGTTAAAATCAATGAATAGAGGAGCTACTTGTCCACTTTGCTCATAGAGATACTCGTAATAGCAAAAAGATGGCAGCAGTCCAAGCTCCCACTGACATAAGAATGGGTTATCAAAGAGAGGTAGATACATACACTAGAACTACTTAGCTCTGCTCAGTATGGTAGGGTATTCCTGTGATCTTAATACTTGGGATGCTGAGACAGGAGTATCGGGAGTTAGCAGTGAGTCTAGGCCAACCTGGACTACCTAGTAAGACCTGTGTCATAAAAAGAAAAGAGAGAGAGAAAGGAGACTGACATGTGATATAATCAGGTCATCCTCGAGAACATACACTTTAAAATCAGCCAGTCACAGAAGGAGGAGTACTGTGCAGTCGTCTGCATTCTCTGCAGCCCTGCATGAAGCACCAGGATAGGCTGGCAGCAGGACCTAGAGGTGGTGGTTGGGGGAACTGCAGGGAAGGGGCAGCAAAGAGTTCCTGTTCATGGGCACAGAGTTTTACTTTGCAAGATGAAAGAAGTTCTGTGGAGAGGCAGTAGTGACTGTAGCTCAACAAGGATGTACTTGGTGCCATTCAACTGTATGCTAAATGTAGGCTAAGATGGCATAGTCAGGGAAGGCACTTGCTGCCAGGCCTGGCAATATCTGAATTCAGTTCGTGAAATCCACATGATGGAAGGAAAGACCCAAATCCTGCAAGTTGTCCTCTGACTTCCACAGGGTACCATGGCACACAATTGTGTGGTCATAACACACACAAGATTTAGCCAGGCATTGGTGGCGAATGCCTCTAATCCCAGCACATACGAGGCAAAGGTAGACATATCTCTGAGTTTGAGCCAACCTGGTCTACAGAGCAAGTTTCAGGACAGCCAGAGCTACAGAGAAACCCTATCTCAAAAAAAAAAAAAAAAAAAAAAAAAAAAAAAAAAAAAATTTAAAGGTGCTAAATTTTATGTCTAGCCTATCACAATATTTCTTTTTCAAATTTCTTTTTAAATAAACCAACTTGTATGAGGTTTTACTAGAATTAAAGTTTAAAATCATGCCCACCAAGGAAGCTTAGACAAAGAGATCAAGGGACCCCCATTACGAAGGAGTATCAGACGGAAGTGGAGCAGGTGACGTTCTCTGATAAGTGGGTGCTGGCTATGGGCACCTTTCATGCCTGTTGTCATGTGCCCCGTGCCCGTCAGGAATACCACCCTGAAGGAATGCCAGTCTAGTGCCTAGTAACTGGCCTCTCCATCCATACTTCATCTAGGTTGCCCTTTTCCTGTACAATGGGGTCCTACTGGATCAGTTTGTGCTGCAAGTGACACATCCTCAGTACCTGAAGAACTCTCTGGTTTACCATCCACAGCTCCGTGCACAGGCTTGGCGCTATGTGACATACATCTTCATGCATGCAGGGTGAGTATATCTTTCCACAGTCCCTGCAGAAACGTGAGTGGCCTGGTTACTTGAGATGAAATATTACATATTATATATACATATGAAATACGTACATTTTATATATAAAAACATTGTATTTGCATATGTATACTTTTAAACTTTTTTTTTTTTTTTTTTTTTTTTTGAGACAGGGCTTCTCTGTAGTGTTGGAGCCTGTCCTGGAACCTCTAAAGACAAGGCTGGCCTTGAACTCACAGAGATTCACCTACCCAAGTGCTGGGATTAAAGGCATGCACCACCACTGCCTGGCTATAAAACTAATTTTTTACATTATTGAGGATTGGATTTAGGGTCTCTGGACTTTTAAGGCAAGTGCCTTAAAACTGAGCCCCAAACTCTGGAATTATGTTTTCGGTTTACTTTTATTGACTTAAATGTAGATCTGAGATAGCTTCTTGAAACTTATCCAATACCAAACATTCTTTCAATTACTACTGTGCATGGAAAAGGACAAAAGAGAGAGGGTCGGATGCTGAAAGCCAGCAATGAGATTGGCACACACATTTCACGGTATGGTTCTATGCACTTCTGAGATGTAGATTGAAATGTTCTGTGCTTCCTAGTAGCAACGCAGAAAGGGTCATATAACCAACCAGCCACTAGAGTTTTTCATAATTTGTGAGTGTGACACTGTTCCCACAAGCCAAGTAAAGGACTAATTTATTACAACTACTTACTTCCCATCCAGGGGAAGAAAGCGTGGGGTCTCTTCCTACCCCTGAGAAGTTTGGAGTGAGTAGAGTGGGCAGGCCCCTTGTCACTCCAGGAAGGAGAACGTCTCTTTATAAGACTTAAAGAGAACATGTTGCATTGCTAAGTTACAAGAGGTCTCTAATGCTTCAAGATGTTTTGAGAGCATCTGTGACCTCCAGCTCTGTAGTGCTTGTAGGTATCGTGAGAGATCGGAGTGAGCCCAGAGCTGGTGAATGACTCAGGTCAGGATGATTAGACATCTGGGCTGAGACTTCAAGTTACTCACTGCCATTCTCTGAACCTTGGCATCACTCATGTTAACCCCTGGTGTTGCTAGGCCCAGGGCATGGCTAGAGTCCTTGTCACTGTGGCAGATGCAGACCATACCTGTCACCACCAGGTCCCTTGTGTGTATTCCTGTCCCAGCTGGAAGGAACTTTGTTCCATGACAATCATCCCCTCCCTAGCAAAGATATGCCTTGTCCCCTCGTGGCTCCCCAGTATCTTGACACACAGCATTTGTCAGATAATGAATGTGGTCTGTCACAGGGTAGAACACCTAGGACTCAATGTGGTGTTGCAGCTGCTGGTAGGAGTACCCCTGGAGATGGTGCACGGAGCCACCCGAATTGGGCTGATCTACGTGGCCGGTGTTGTGGCAGGTAGGCTGGTGGACCCCGTAGTGACCCTTTCGAGGGAAGGTCAGAGGAGATCCTGTGGGTGGTACATCTCCAAGGTTCCTGACTCTGAACTGTCCTGACTCTGGATTTCCCACAGCCACCCAGACAGGGAGATGTGTCCTGGTAGCAGAGCAGAGCGCATGATTTGGAACAGGACTACCGACAGCATTCCTGTCAGTAACCTGCCATGCTCTAGCTGTGTAAGCCTGGGGAAATCCCTTGGTCCTTTTGGTCTCATCAAGCTTGTAGACTACCAAGAGCTGCCTGCTGTTGCTGGGAGGCCACACATGTGATAACAGGTTCCTTCTGCTGTGCAAGGTGCAGAGGGACACCTGTGGTGTGGATGAAGCCAGGCAGCTCTTAGGCCAAGGCACATCTGAACACATAGGGACCAGCCATGAATCCCTTGCCTGACACTGAGGATAGGACAGTCTGGCCTAGGAGGTAGTGGATGCTCCTGTTGGGAGAAATATGTGTGACTGATGTGGGAAGGTGGGACGGATGAGTTGAGCAGCAGGACGATTTCTCCAGGGAAGGTAACTGCAGCGCAGCCTCTGAGTGCCAGCATGATGCCTCCAACTTGACTGCTGCCCGGTGAAGCTTTGCCACCTCAGCTCTTTAGCTTGACAGCTGGGCCCAAGGGAGCTCTATATGTGTGTGTGTGTGTGTGTGTGTGTGTGTGTGTGTTTGTGCAGGTGTGTGCTTAATATCTTAATCCTTTCTGTATGGCATTAAAGTTGTCATCAATAGAGCTGGGCAGCCTTGGCCTTGTAAACAACAGGCGGGCAGTGATGGATGTGATTTCAGAGCAGGAAGGGCTCTACTTTTCCTCCAGTGGGCTAACCTGCTCTTTAGTGGAACCTGTGCCAGGAAGAGCCTCCCTCCCTGCACTGTCCCTGGCCTTTCTGTGTGTGCCCTTGCACCTTGTCACCAGCCTTTCCCTGAACCCAGCATCTACTGTGTCCTTACCAGGTGTAGTGAGTACCTCCAGGTTCCAGACTCTCTCAACCACCCACACCTTCCAGTCATGCCACCTGGGATTTATAGATGTTGGTTCCCCACCTAGATTCCCCGGGGTCCCAGATGTTAAATGGCAAGGAACGGGGAAGGCACTTGTAACACTTGCAGTCAGTCAGACTGGGGGAGGGGGACAATAACTGGGAAGACAGAATTGAGATTCAAAATGACTCAGCCCTCACCCAGAACAGATGACACAGCGGGGAAACAGCACAAACATCCCTTCCCAGTGATGTCAGTGCAGAGTAGGATGGTGCACACAGAAGCAAAACACATAACCAGGATATGAGACTCTGGAGCTGCAGCCTGGAGCCAAGGGCACACAGGGCTCTGCCTGAGCCATTGGTTCAGGCCACAGGGCTTTCTGGTCACCACAAATCATGTCATTGACCTCCACAATTGAGTGGATTGATCTCTCTACACTGCTCCCCCTCTGTATCCCCAGAGGGAAACCCTTACAGATAGGAAGACCTTGACTAGAGAGCTAGTTCTTGTCTATGACCAGCAAGTATGGTGTCCTCACCTCCAAGCCATGTGGCCAGTAGCTACACTTCTCTACCTGCTGTGGATACAGAGTCTGAGGCTGAGGTGTGGGGGCAAATTCCTGTAATGCCAGTGCTTCAGAGACTAATACAGGAGGATCAGAAGTTCAAGACCAGCTTGGGCTACATAGTGAGAGAGCAACAACAAAACAAAAACAAGACAAAAAACCAGAAGCCAGGGTTTAGAGAAACAAGTGACTTGCCCAAGAAGACACAGCTTGTAAGTGGTAGAGATAGTTCCCACACAGATTCTGTGACCCCAACAATTGCCCTAGAAGCACCTGAGAATCAAAAGGCAAGTCTTTGCTTTTGTGCAGAAACTGTCAGAAACCAAGGGAAGCCTTGATCACTATCTGGCCCTGCTTTAATCCCTGCCCAGTGAAGCTATTCCAAACCCAAGGCCATCCTGTTTTATCGAGCAATGGCTAACTGCCACAGCACATATATAGAGTTCAGACTTGTGGTACAGGTCTTGTGTGTCATCACCAATACACATCACAATTTTATAAGGTCTGTAAGGTGTCCTCTATCACTCCTGGTGGACAGGCCATTCAGAAAGGTGAATAATAAACTCTAAGTGACCAAATTAGGGTAGAGCCCTGTGCACTGAACCAGCTGTTGTGACCAGCACTGAAGGCAGTCACATCACTAGCAGTCTTTTAAAGCCAGTATCTTAGCAGGGTGTGTAGTCACACACCTATAATCTCAACACTTGGGAGGTAGAGGCAGAACAACCAGGAGTTCAAGGCCATCCTTGGCTATGGAGTGACTTTGAGACTGCCCTGAGTTATGTGAAATACTGTGTCAAATACAAACAAACAAACAAACACAGCAGCTTTTTATTGCAGAGTTTGTAGAAGCCAGTATGCACATCTAGAGCTTTGCACCTGTTAGGTAATAAATATTTGTAGAGTAGATGAAAGAATACATGAATAAATAAAATAACATTGCTTAGAGGTAAATGTTCTGCCACTATTAATTTGAGTTCTTCCTAATGGCCATGGGAGATGTTGGAGAATACATGCCTTCAAACTTTTCAGGCTAAAACCACCACAGTTCTGCCTTTACAGCAAGGCCACCAATTCACCTGCATGATGGCATGGACTCAGAATATGTTTTAGGAACCAGCTCCTTGGTCTATGCCAGTCTGTGCTGTGCAGAGGTGAGGTGTGCTGGTTCAGCTTGCCATCATCTCTGTGACTTCTGTCCCTACCACCTTCACAGGAATTGTCCTGACATTATGGACCTGTCAGCCATGAGTTATGAAAGGACCCTACCTGGGCCACAATCTCCCTTGACGTCTTTCACTGCTCTGTATGTGTAGATCCTGTGTCCTTTGGTCCCAGTCAGTCCCTCTAGCTCTCAGCTGACCCGTAGACCATAAGAAAGTCTTGGAAGGTAATAAGGTTATAAAAGGAGGCAGTGGTGCAAGCTTGTTACCCCAGCACGAAGGAGGCAGAGTGAGAGGATCTCAGCAAGTTTGAGGCTAACCTGGTCTACAGATAAGACTTGTCTTTAGGGGGCTGGAGAGATGGCTCAGAGGTTGCATGATGGCTGCTCCTCTTCCAAAGGACCCAGGTTCAATTCCAAGCACCCACATGGCCACTCACAACTGTCTATAATAACTCAGGTTCCAGGGGATCTGATATCCTCACACAGACCTACTTGTAGGCAAAACACAATGCACTTAAAGTTAAAAAAGAAAGGAAGAAAGAAAGAAATTAAGACCTGTTTTTAAGAGATATGTATAAAGCCAGATGTTGGTAGCACACACCTTTAATCCCAGCACTCGGGAGGCGGAGGCAGGCAGATCTCTGTGAGTTCAAGACCAGCCTGGTCTACAAGAGCTAGTTCAGGATAGCCTCCAAAGCCACAGAGAACCCCTGTCTCAAAAAGCAAAAGCAAAAACAAACAAACAAAAAAATACAAATTAAAGATATGTATATCTCAATCCAAAAATCAGAGCCAAACCTGGGTGTTTGAATTCCTGTTCTGGGAAGAACTGCGGAGCCCCCTCTAGTGAGAGACAGCTTTGCTCCCCAGCTGCACCCTTCATAGCCAGAGGGTTCCCTGCTCTGCTCAGTGAATTAGGGAACCCAAGAAAAAGGTGTTTCACTGCTCAGGATGTTAGAAGCTTTAGACTTCTTCATCTCATACATGTGAATACTGAAGGCAGAAGAATGTAGGAGCAGTGCCTAAAGTCACACAACTGGGCAGTCACGTCTCCCATTGCACACTCCTGTCAGGATTCCTAGCTGGCCCCTGGCCCAAGACCCTAAACACGGGGAGGGTGAGGGAAAGGTCAGTGCTGAGAAGGCTTGCCCCCATAGGGCCTTTCTGTCCCCGGAGGCAGTCCAGATGCATAACTGACCCTAGTGGACTGTTCCGACAGACCAAATTGCATTGGTCTGTCGGAGAGAGGAGAGGGACCAGCTGGGTGAGGTTGGGGCTTGCTCATTGCAAACAGTAATTAATGAGGAGCTGGCTTGGGCAGCTGGCCCTGTGCTATTCTGCAATGCAGCCCTCACACTGCGGCCAGGAGAGTGTGGGAATCTTTTGTCATGCAGATCCTGCTGCCTGTTTGTTTGCTGCCCTGGGATCCTTCCCCACCCCCACCCACGGTGGGGATATTTATGGCTGATCCCTACGGGTAGGCCAATAAAAGGAGAAAGTTACCAGACAATTGTTAAGTACCAAATTAAGGCTCGAAGGAGGAAAAAAACAAACAAACAAACAAACAAACAAAAAAAAAAAAAAACCAACATGACAAAGGTAAAGGAAGATTTTCAATGGGCTGGGAGAAGGACTTGAGATCCTCAGGCCATGATAGCTTGGGGTTTGTCTGTTAAATTTTTTTCTGAGACATAGCAAGAATTGGTCATAGGGACCTGGAAAGAGGATGCCAAGAGGCAGGTGGTCAACGGTGCTCCCATGGGGATCTCTCTCTGGGTCCCCATCCAGATGGTCTTGAGTCCTGGTTCAGGAACTCCCTCCTTTGTAGAACTTGCAGGTTTGGGCTCTCAGCCTGTTCTCCCTCTCTCCAGCGGCTAATTGAGTCCTGAGCCTTCAGGCATTTTCCAACCGAGGTTTCTGCTCGCTCACCCAGGCCAGCCGCTATTCACCCTCTGTGCCCTGGGCTCTACCTCCTAGTTATTTTTAGTCTCCTGTGTCCTTCCCTGGAAGCCAAAGCATTGATCACACTTAAATTCGACCAGAACAATAAATTTCCCATCTCCTCTCTGCCCACCTTTCCTGCTAGGACCAAAGTTTGTCATCCCACACACCAAAAGCCACGGAACTGCCCTCTCCCCAGAGTGTGATGTCATCACTCTCTGGACTTTTCAAGGACATTCTCCCTCCAGAGAGGCCCCACTTGGATGGTCCTGTAGGCCTTTTGTGCTTTAGCTTGGCTGGCAAGAGGTGGGAGGTGATACTAACCAAGTTTATAGATTCAGCTGAGTACAGGGAAGTGGAAGGGGGCAGGGGCCACCTCTGAACTAACGTGGGAAGTGGCTGCCACTGAGGCTGAGAGCATGGGTTTTGGTCAGCGTGGTTTTCAGGCTGGGGAAATTGCTGTGTGATAGAGTGCTTGCCTAGCTTATATAAGGCCCTGGGTTTAATTCCTGGTACTGGGGGAGAAGGAAAGATTTTGTGTGTGTGTGTGTGTGTGTGTGTGTGTGTGTGTGTGTGTCAGGCAGAACAGGGTTCAAATCCCGATTCCAGTGTTGTGATGGTAACCTTTCCTGTGTCAATGGAGAGTCTGTTAGCACCTGCCTCAAACATTGGCCTTAGGTAGAGATGAGCCTTGAGGGTAGGAGGGAGAAACGTTTGTACACTGCCTCCCAACGGTGGAACACTTTCCATTCCCTGTGCTGGCTTTTTGCGGCCACCTCTCCTTGCTGAAGCAGGTGACCTGGGATCAGTCACTTCTCCTTCCCACCAGTGGAACGGGAAAGCTGAGCCGAGACACTCGTCCCACCGTACACAGAAGCTGTGGAACACCTCTGCCTGCCTCTGCCCGGCTCTGCCCGGCTCTGCTCTGGTGGTAGCATGCAAGGGCCAGGGCTGGGCTGCACAGTGAGTCCAACATTCTTGATGGTTTTCACTCTCTCTGTGCCAGGCTCCTTGGCTGTGTCTGTGGCTGACATGACTGCACCTGTTGTGGGCTCTTCCGGAGGGGTGTATGCACTCGTCTCTGCCCACCTGGCCAACATTGTCATGGTGAGCAGCCCCTGTTCTCTGTGGATCTGCCCTGTCTCTCCTCTGCCATCACTGAGCTTGGACATCAATCCTGCCCCTCAAACCCCACCCCTTTAGTTCTCTCAGCCCGGGCCAGCCTGGCTGGAGCACAGTTCATACCTACATCTTCCTCTGCAGACCCATTTCCCAGATGAGGTCCTATGCTCTCCAGCCATGCTGGGTCTGCAGGTGTGCCTGTCTCCAGATTCCTCCTGGTCCCTCAAAATTGGTTAAACTCTGGCTTAGTAGCCAGTGTCTTAGTTAGGATTATCATTGTCATGATGAAACACCATGACCAAAAGCAACTCGGGGAGGAAAGAGTTTGGCTTACAATATAACATTCACTGTTCATTGGTGAAGGAAGTTAGCACAGGAACTCAAGTAGGGCAGAAACCTGGAGGCAAGAGCTGATGCAGAAGCCACAGAGGAGTACTGCTCACTGGCTTGCTTATTATGGCACCACCCACAATGGGCTGAGCCCTTCCCCATCAATCACTAATTAATAAAATGCCCCACAATCTTGCCTACACCCATTTTTGGGGGTTGGGTGGTTTAAGACAAGTTTCTTTGTGTAGCCCAGGCTATACTGGAACTATCTCTGTAGACCAGGCTAGTCTTGAACTCACAGAGATCCACTGGCTTCTGCTTCCCAATAGCTGGGATTAAAGATGTGTACCACCACCACTGGCTAACCTACACCCAATCTTACGGGAGGCATTTTCTTAATGAGGTTTTCTCCTCTCAGATGACTCCAGCTTGTGTCAAGCTGACATAGAATTATCCAGAGCAACTAGTACACGTGGTCTTTAGAATTGTTTGCTATAGAGTATGCAAAGTGAATGGATTTGGGGCTGAGGAGATAACCCAGTCTGTAAAGTGCTTTTCGCACAAGCATGAAGACCCAAGTTTGGATCCCCAGCAGCCACATAAAAAGCTGGGCATGGTGATGGTGCACACCTGTAAACCCCGTGCAGGGGCGGCAGATGCCTAGAGTTTGCCATTGCAAACCATCCCAGCCAATCAGTGAGCTCCAGGTTTGATGCCTCCACACGTACCACACACACACATGACACACAGGCACACATGCCAGAGAGGGTAAGTGATCTGCCCAACACCAAGCCCACACCTTCTGACAGTAATCCATGTTGTCCCCTGCTCCAGCCCCTTGCACCGGCAGGGTCCCATTCTCTTTCCCTCCCTTCTCTTTGCAATAATGTGGAAGGGTCTGAGCATGGCCACAGGGGATAGGCAACCTAGGTCTGAATCCCTGCTGCCCTCTCCTAAAAAGCCACCTGGGCCAGGTCACATGCTGCTTTGTACCTTGGGTTCTATGGCTCTGAAGTAGGATGATATGCAATAATTAAGAAAAAATGCAAATCAACACTTAAAACAAATACTAACTTAATTCCTCATTCCTCACAAAAGAACCCAGGTAGACTCAGACTGGATAGGGTCTACAAACTGGTGTGTTGAAGCCCTGTGTTATGAATGTTGTCTAGTTTAGAGGCAGATAGAGGCCTCTCTAATGGGACATAGCTGTCTGGCCTCATGCCCCCTTTGGCCTAAGAACCTCTATGTTACACACCTGTTCCCCTCGTGCTGCCTCTAAGATTTGGCAGGGAGGAAGGGGGCCAGACAGGTTACAGTGAGCCCCTTCTGCTCCTGCCCTGTTTGCCTTCACCTGTTTTCCCACCTGGCTTCTATGATGCTTGGTGGTAGCAGATTTTGGGAGTCCCTAAATTCTCCCATGGTTTCATCTGGGTTTTTGTTTTTCAGTTGAGTAGGTCATTGCCACATAGCCTAGGAACTCAGTCCTACCTCAGCCTTCCAAGTGCAGAGCCTGCCTTCTCTTCTCTCCCTCCCTCCCTTCCTCTTTTTGTGGGAACAGGTAGGGCTATCCCAGGTCAGCCTGGAACTCCCGGTGTAGTCCAGGCTGACCTTAAACTAGTGGCGATCCACCGGCTTTGGCAGCCCAGCACACCGCTGGAATCCCTGCTTTCCAGATCGTTCAGTCCCGTTCTTACTGCCTTTCTCTGAACACTCCCCCACTTCTTTCCACCCTCTTTGTGAGTTGTGAGAGCAAGGGGTGGGTGGGGGAGAGGAGATGCTGAGTGACTACATTTGCTGCTGAGCTAAATTCTGGCAACTTCCAGTGTGTGTTGGTAGAGAGGCTGCAGGTGGGTGTGGGAAATTGTGTCTGAGTGTGAGGGTTCAGGGAGTGTTCCCGTTTACACACACACTTCAGTCTGCTGAGGGTCTGTGTGCACAGGGCTGCCTCACATGGCCCCTTTAAGTGGGTCATTCTCTATCAATGCTGTCTTTCCTCAGACACAGCTATTCCTCTGAATTCTGCCTCCTCCACCCTCCCCCTGCCCCAATTCCTCTCAGTTGGAGAAAAAAGTACTGACCTCCTCCCTCCCTTCCTGCAAGACAGGGATGGGGACAGGGATGGGGCCAGGGATGGTGTGGGGGATGAGCAGGCACAGTGGAATGAGAACAGGGGAAAGAAGGAAAAGGCAGGAGTTTATCTGCCTACTCTCCAGCTCATGAGATGCAGCTGTGGTACCCCAGAAGTTCTTACGGGGAGAAGAGTTCACTCAACACTGACAGTCTGGCCACAGGCACTTGGGGAACCTGTGAAACTGTTTTGTTCCTGTCTGGCAAGCAACTCATAACCATGGAGATGATCAGTCCTGTTTAAAAACCTAGCCTTCCCAGAAGAAAGCAGCTGCCTGCCTGCCTCCTGGGAGCTGACACTCCTTGGAAGTTTGCTGTAAGGACTCCTCTAGAGCCATGTGTTTCGCTTGTGACACTAAAGAAGGCTTATTCTCATGACAAAAGTCAGTTTCCTCTCATCTAGGGACTGCCTTTGCCCAAATTAGCTCAATGCTGAGTTCTGTCAGGTCAATGCACTTGAAGTAGTACACACCTTTAATCCCAGCACTGGGGAGGCAGAGACTTGGATCTGTGTGAGTTCAAGTCTAAGAGTTCCAAGACAGCCAGGGCTACATGGAGAGACCCTGTTTCAAAAAGAAAAGAAAAGAGTACCATTTCTGTGGTTGGAGAGTGTTTAAATATTAGCAATTTCATATACTTCAACCTCATAGATATACTATTGCTGTACTTCCAAATGAGAGTGGAGTGCTTATTCATTAGACAGTATCTCATCAAGGCAAAAGGGAGAACAACTATGGATTTGACGGTCAGAAAATCTAGATTGAGAGCCATCTGATGGCTGAGTCTGTTGCTATAAACCTTTGGGGCTCCAATTGCTCTCATAAAGTGGTTGTTACAAACTGGAACGTGCTTTCCACATGGCAAACCACGACTCAGCAGTGACTGTGTGTACATGTGATTGCACATCTGTATATGTAACTGGATTTATGTTTTATTTTGCGTGGGGGTGGAGGGGGGAAATCATGTGTGCCACAGTGCATGTGTGAACATCAAAGGACAGCTTTGAGAGTCTGTTCCATCCACCTTGTGGTTCCCTAGGATTGAACTCAGGCTTGGTGGCTGATGCCTTTACCTACTCAGTCATCTTGGTTCCCTTATGTTGTCCTTTTGTTACAGTTATAGGATAAAGCTGGAGGGGGGTGGGGGTTCCAAGGTAAGGGACCAAGTGGGAGAGCATAGTGGGTCCCATAGCAGGAGAGGGTGACTGATGTGGACGGAATAACATGCCAGACAGAGCTTAACTGAGGTGGAGGGAATAACATGCCAGACAGAGCTTAATTGAGAAGTTTATTTAGAAAGGGGGAATAAAGGGGAAGGGAAAAGAGACATAGAGAGAAGAGGAGAGAAGGGAGGAAGAGAGGTGAGGGAGTTTGCACACATGTCCTGAGTCCCTATGCAGCCCCATAATGAGTGACATAGTGATGACATGGCCTTGCAGAGCATGCCTGTCCACCCATTGTTAGGGGACGGAGTCAGCAGAATGCCAGTTTCCAACACCTAATGTGTGATTTTTTTTTTAAATGTATGAATTGTGTTTCATATCTACAGAGAAATCAGAAAATGTGTAGCATTTCTGTTCTCAGGTCTAGCTGTTAGGTTAGAGATTTATTTTTTGTTTTTCGAGACAGGGTTTCTCTGTGTAGCTTTGGAATCTGTCCTGGAACTCACTCTGTAGACCAGGCTGGCCTCGAACTCACAAAGATATGCCTGCCTCTACCTCTCAAGTGCTGGGATTTTGCTTTACATAAAAATATGTCTTATAGTTGTGGTGATACACACCAGTAATCATAGCATTTAGGAGGCTAAGGCAGGAGGATCAAGAATTCAAGGCCAGCCTGGGCTACATAACAAGCTGATGTCTCCAAAAAGAAAAAGAAAAAAAAAAAAAAAAGGAAACCAAACAAACAAAAAGCTGAGAAGATGGCTTAGTAGGTAAAGAACTGACTGCAAAAACTGAGTTCAGATTCCCAGAACCATGTCAAGCTGGATATGGTAACACATGTCTGTGATCCCAGTATTCCTCAGGTAAGATGGGAGGTGGGACAGGAGAATCCCCAATCTCATGGACCAGCTAGCCTGGAGAACCAAGTAGCAAACAGTAAGAGACCCTGTCTAAACGAGATGGGAGCACGAGGTTGCCCTTGACCTCCACATGTATACCTGGCACACATGTGCCTTTACTCACATGTGCACATGCAGACACACATACATACACACATCACAACACACACAGAGATCAAATCCTGAAAGTGTGTGTGTGTCAGTGTGCACGTGCGTGTGATTTTTTTTTTTTTTAAAAATTCCAGCTTACACCAAGAAATTAAAGTCAGAAAATAATTTCAACCAAGGACGCGGCTCAGAAAAAGGCTTTCAATCACGACTTCTTATTTTAAACACTGGAAATAGAAATATCTACCTGATTGAATAATTTATTAATTGCCTGCTGCTGGGGCCCATAAGCCAGAGTTCCATTTTTAAATATGCAAGATATTTACTTACACTTTGCTGTGTGGTAGATATTTTCATAAAATATTTGAGAGCCAGATCTTTGCAAAGTGAATTTCATTGCTAAAGCTCAAGAAAGATAGCTGCTAAAAAACAAAGAAAAGCCTCTGCCATAAGGTTTATGTAATTAAATAAGTAGCCTCTTGTAAGACAGATAAATCAGGAGTGATTTATATGCCATGCTTTTGTGGTGTAGGTACACACACAGTGTGTGTGTGTGTTTTGTACTGAGCATTGAACCCAGAGCCTCACACATGCTAGGAAAGTGCTCTTAATTGGTTGGGTGAACACGGTGTTAAGGCAACTGGTTACCTACTTGTTCCCTGTGGCTGAGTCAGTATCTCACCCTGTGAGAGAGGCTGTGGGAGAGAATGAAATGAAAGGGCCTTTGAAAGGTCTGCTTCCCTAAGGGCCGGGTTCTTCCACATTTAGAGCAGCAGCAGCAGCAGCACCTGCTGCTTGAGACCCCTCTTCTCTCCCGCTGTGCCATTGCACTCCTGTTATTGGAGGAAATAATGGGTCGGGAAATGGCCAGGGAAGACTTTCTAGTGTAACCCCTTCACTGCTGGGAGATTACAATTGGCCGGGATTCCCTCAGCTCTAGCAGCAGCTGGGTAGACAACAAAGGCAGTCAAACTGTTTCACAGTCTCTTAGAGGGTGGTTGACAGAGGGCCGTGGACTGGAGGGACCACCATCTCTGCCTGTTAACCTCCTGGGATCTTTAAGTGGCCCTCCTGGATCCTCATCTTCTTCCCTAAAGCAAGTGCACAGGGTTGGACTGGATGGACCTGACAATCCTGGACACTAATTTGCAGCTGGGGCCAGGCAGGTTTGCATACCCATGAAGCTAATGGGTTGGAAGCCATTCCTGTGATCCCAGGAAGATATGGAGTTGAGGTCATCTTGTGGCTACAGAGTGAGTTTGAGGCCACCCTGGGATAGATGGACCTGTGTCAAAACAAAATAAAACAAAACAAAAACCATGAACTTGGCCTCAGTAGTGCTACGGTAAAGCAGAACTTCAACTCTGTCCAGGGTCACTTGGACTCTATATTTATTTGTTGATTTTGAGAGACAGTTTCTCTGTGCAGCCCTGGCTGTCCTGGAACTCACTCTGTAGACCAGGCTGGCCTCTAACTCACTGAGATCCACCTGTTTCTGCCTCCTGAGATTAAAGGCATGCACTACCACCACTTGACCGAAATTTAGTTCTTTATAACTTTTCCTTTCTTCTTTCCCTGCTTCCCTCTTTCTTCTTTATCCTAGGGATAGAACCCAGGGTCTTCATGCTTGCTAAGGTAGCTCTCCTGCCATCCTGTCTCCACCCCATTGCATACTATCTACCAAACTTTTTTTTTTTTTCCTTTTTGTCTCTTCTTAGGGCCATGTGGCCCACCACCTTCCTGCTGCAGGATTGGATTGCTGGCTCCATGGGAATCACTGACCCCTGTTTTGTTCCCTGTCTCTTTGGTCAGGTGCTCTGACAGACATTAGCAGTCCCAGTGTTACCCTGCCATCTGCTTCTAAATAGAACATTCAGCAAGCAGATGTTAGGCATTCAAGTTCAGGAGGGGCCGTGTGCTCCCCACCTCACTACTGAAGAAGGGCTTGTTGTAGAGAGTGTCTCAGCATGTTTCCCATGCTGGCCTGGAACTTGCCATCCTCCAGCCTTCCAAGTGCTAGCTGATCCTCCTCTTCCAACTGGAAAGGATTTAAATTTATTGAATACAAAGCACTTGTGATTTACAAAGCAACTAGGACAATAATTTACCAAAGCGGGATTGTTTAGACAGTACATTTAAAAATACTCCTCATTTAATTTTTTTGTCTTATGTGTGTATGGCGATGGGGAGCATGTGTGCCTTGGTACATGTGAGAAGATCAGAGGACAACTTCCACTGTGTAGGTCCTGGGGATAAAACTCAGCTCATACTGGGCGGCAATCCTTCTAACCAGCTGACAAATAAGTTGTTGTTTTTATCTATAATTGTACATTTGATTTTTCAAAGTTTACATGACATCACCATACTGCCAATGTACACACAGTCATCAACTGTAGCAAACACAGAATAGTGTCCGTGTGACTGGAGCAGAGGAATGCTTTTCTTTTTCTTTTGTTTTTTTGAGACAGGATTTCTCTATGTAGAACTGGCTGATCTAAAACTCACTCTGTAGACCAGGCTGGCCTTGAATTCACAGAGATCCACCTGCCTCTGCCTCCTAAATGCTGGGATTAAAGTCTTGTGCCACCACAGCCTGACAGGAGCCATTTCTTTGTCTTAAGAAAATGAAACTTGCCTCCGAAGACAAATAGGCTAGCCTGATCTACTGATGGAGTTCCAGCTACAGAGAAACCATGTCTCGAAAAAAAAAAACCAAAAAGGAAAAAGAAAATGAAACTCCTGCTCCTACAAGTGAATACTTCAAACAAATCTTTTTTGTCTTTAAAAAACAAAGATGTTTTCTCTGCAGCTTTCCCAAGTCCTGTTTCCTCTACTGTTACCACTATTTGGGGCCCTTGTGAAGTTTTTAACTCTTATTACTACAATGTCCAAGGATCAGGAGAGCATTGAGCAGGGGCTGGTACAGCTGACAGGATGGTTTGAGTAGGTGGGAGGGAACAGACGTCCCTGGCTGTGCCCAGTTGCCTCCTTAGCCAGGGCCGGTCCAGAACCCTGGCTCATCTCTGTGTATGCATGTGCATGTGCCTGAGTGAAACTGTACACTGGATGTCCTGCAGGGCTATCCCTCAAAGGAACCCTACACGCCTTTAGTCCCAGCACTCAGGAGGCAGAGACGGGCAGATCTCTGTGAGTTCAAGAGCAGTCTGATCTACAAGAGCTAGTTCCAGGACAGCCTCCAAAGCCACAGGGAAACCCTGTGTCGAAAAACTAAAAAAAAAAAAAAAAAAAAAAAAAAAATGTATTCTGTTCATCAACTCTGGAGGCTCAGGGTTTCAGAGACTCAGGAGAGAGAGACTTATTTGAAGGCCATCTGGCCCACTCCTCTCCTGAAGCTCCCTCCTCAGGTGCTGAAGCCCCATTAGGAACCTCAGTGACAGGAAACTCATGACCCACACAACAGGTCACTCATTACATTTTGTTCATGTAAGGAATGGAAACTTGGCTGGGCTTTGGTGGTGCAGGACTTTAATCCCAGCATTTGGGAGGCAGAGGCAGCTGGATTACTGTGAGTGAGTTCGAGGCCAGCCTGGTCTACAAAGGGAGTTCCAGGACAGTCAGGGTTACACAGAGAAGCCCTATCTTAAAAACCAAAAAAAGAAGGGGGAGAGGGGCTCATTCATTCTTCCTGGGCATGATTTCTTACCCCCACGATTCCACTGTGACTTTGCTGGGTGTCCTGCCCCACATTTCTTGTCACCCGTGGGGCACAGCAAAGAATCATGCTCTCATGGAGTTCACTGTCTGAGGTGGGAAATAAAGACTCTTGCCGGCTCTGCATGTTGTGTCCTGTGTGACTCAAGAACTTTTATGACAGGGATAAACTTACCATTGCCGGAAACTCCAAAGCCATGCTGGATCGTTGTACTGCTAAGCTCCAGCCCTCACTCAGTACATCATGGGATGGATGGCTTCTTGTGTACCTGCAGAGGAAGGGGCCTGATCCCAAACTGACAGAACTCTCTCTCTCTCCTTTAGAACTGGTCAGGCATGAAGTGCCAGTTCAAGCTGCTGCGGATGGCTGTGGCCCTGATCTGTAGTGAGTACCGGCAGGCCCTCGGGGCGTTGGGATGAGGGTGTTGAAAGTAGGGGTGCAGGACTAGAGTACAGACATGCAGACACTGTCTCTGCCTTCCAGGAACTTGTGATAGAAAAGGTGAGGCATATCAGTAATGTGTCCAGAGCGGGGACATCCTGAGGAACCCTTTCCCTTTACCCTACTTGATCCTTCAGGATCTTTTGTTTGTTGTTTTTTTGTTTTTTGAGACAGGATCTTCTTGTGTGTCTCCTGTTGTCCTTGAACTCACTAAACAGTCAAGGACAACCTTGAACTTTTGACCCTGCTTTCTTCTCAAGTGCTGTGTCACCACACTGGTTTTTATGTGGAGCTGGGTTTGCGCATGCTAGGCAATCGCTCTACCAACTGAACCACATTGCCCAGACCTTTTCCCCCCCTGGCTTTTCTAGACAGGGTTTCTCTAAGTAGCCCTGGCTGGCCGAGGGCTCACTCTGGAGACCAAATTCTGGGATTAAACTTTAAAAAGTTATATATTTTTACTTTATGTATACAGGTGTTTTGTCTACACGTATGTCTGTGCACCACATGCATGCCTGGTGCCTAAGGAGGTCAGAAGGGGGCATCAGAACCCCTAGAACTGGAGTTATATACAGTTATGAGCCACCATGTGAGGGCTGGGAATTGAACCTGTGTCCTCTGAAGTAGCAATAAGTACTCTAAACCACTGAGCCACCTTATCTCTCCAGCCCCACTCTTAAACCCTTTATAGACATAAAGTATGCAAACAGAAAAGGACCCAGTGACTGACCCGACCCAGACCCCCTGAATGTGGATGTTAGTTAGGAGGCCTGGGCAGTCTGTGGGGCCTCTGGTAGTGGGTCAGTATTTATCCCTACTATAGGAGTAGACTTTGGGAGCCCGTCCCACATAGAGAGATACTCCCTCAGCCTAGACACATGGGAGAGGGCCTGGGCCTTGCTCCAAATGCCATGACAGACTTTGAAGATCCCCCATGGAAGGCCTCACCCTCTCTGGGGAGCAGAAAGGGGATGGGGTGGGGGTTGGTGGGGAGAACAAGGGAGGATGGGATTTAAAAAATATCAAAAAACAACCCAAAAACAAAAAAAGAAGAAGAAAGAAAGAAAAAGACCCAGTGCCAGTGACCAATGGGATCAAGAGAAATGGCTGCATGACTTTTTGGGTTGTGAACTTGACCTTTTACAATGTGCTTCTTTATGTGTACACCTGTGTGTGCAGGCACACACATGTACACATAAAATAAAAACAATAAAAAATTTATTTTTTTAAAAACTTGCTGTCTTAACCAATGGTATGACACATGTCTATAATCCTAGCACTTTGGGAAGCTATGGCAAGAGGATTGGAATTTTTAAATTTGTATTTATTCATTTTCATGTGCATGGGTGTTTTGCCTGCATCTTTATGTCGTATGTATGCAATTCCCATGGAGGTCAGAAGAGGGCATCAGATCCCCCTGGACCAAGTTACAGACAGTTGTAAGCCACCATGTGGGTGCTGGGAATCAATCCTAGGTCTTATGAAGAGTAGCTGTTGCTCTTAATTGCTAAGCTATCTCTCCATCCCCCAGAGAACTGAATTTGGAACCCAACCTGGGTGACATAGTAAAATGATGTCTCAGGCTGCCCCTGCCCCCACACATACTGAAAAACTTGCCCTTATAGCAGAGTCACAAACTGTGGTGGCTCCTATGCTTAGCTTGTGCTAGGACCTTAATCAGAACAGGTCAGTTATACTGACTGAGAGGCCTGGACATAAAGACAAGCAGGACTCAGCAACTGACCAAATATAAGAGAGCATGTCTTCTTTTTTTTCCCTTTGGTTTTTTGAGACAGGGTTTCTCTATATTGCTTTGGAGCCTGTCCTGGAACTGGCTCTGTAGACTAGGCTGGACTTGAACTCACAGAGCTCTGCCTGCCTCTGCCTCCTGAGTGCTGAGATTAAAGGTGTGAGCCACCAATGCCCTGCCTGGCAAGAGGGCATGTGTTACGGTTGATGATATACACCTTTAATCCCAGCGCTTGGTAGGCTGAGGCAAGAGGAACTCCATGAGTTCAAGGCCAGCCTGGTTTACATGGACAATTCTAGGCCAACCACTTACAATGAGACTGTGTCCCAAAAAGGAGGAAGTGGTATGTCTGGCAGAGAGATGCCACAGGAATAAAGGACTTGATAGGCACAATATGTTGGCAGGGAAAACTGGGGTTTAGGACTGTGTATAGTTGTGACAAGAAGTAAAGCTAATGAGATCATATGGGTTAGATGCACTGGTAGGCCACTGTAGGCTTATGACAGGAGAGATCCTGAAGGATGTGACAGATAGGAAATTAGCTACATTATGATGTAGGAAAATGGATTGAGGGGCTGGAGAGATGGCTTGGTGGTTCAGAGCCCTTGCAATAAAAGCAGGTGGATCTGTGTTCACCCTATCACCTGCATAAAAAAGCCAAGCACAATGGTACACATTTCTGTGATCCTAGTATTGGGGGCTAGATAGAGCAAGTGCCCAGGAGCTCACTGGCTGGCCAGCTCATCCTAAAGAATGAGCTGCAGACTTCAGGTTCAATTAGAGACCCCCATCTTTTAAAAACAAAACAAAACAGTATAGAGGGTCTGAAGACATGGCTTAAGGGTTAAGAGTACTTCCTACTTTTGCCAAGGACCTAGGTTCAGTTCCCAGAACCCACACAGCAGCTCACACCTATAATGCCATTTCCAGGGTCTATGACACTCTCTTCTGGCATCCATAGGTACCATGCATGCTACAGCACACATATATACATGTAGGCAAAACATTCATACATAAGTTTTTAAAAGTAAGGTGGAGAGCAATAGAGGAGGGCATGTAATATCTTCTGTCTCCCATATGTGCATGCATAGGTTCACACACGCACAGATACACACACACACACCATGTACGTGCCACACACAGTGAAAAAGGAATGAGGCCTGAAGCCTTAGGGCTCATCCTGAAATGTAAAGAGCAAGAGAGGGGAAAGGACCCATTCTTCACTTTCCAAAATATGTGTATGGAGAGCATACGATTAGTTTTAGTTCATAATTGTAAACGAGCTTCAGAGATCACCCAGCTCAAAGGAAATATACCCAGAATATTGAAATATGTCATTACTAATGCTCTACAGTTTAGCCCTGCTGGGCAGGGACCACCAAGGTTTTCTCAGCCTGGGCTAACCCCCTGCTGCATGGTTAAGAGGAAGACATAGCCAGGGCAAGCCCTGATGAAGTCTGGCCTGTGAAGGCTCTCCTCCATTTCACCTCCACAACCTCTGCCTCTTACTTTAGGCCTTTGGAACATCCCTGATGTTCCCTGATCCGTCTTCTTGGTCGTGTGTGTGTGTGTGTGTGTGTGTGTGTGTGTGTGTGTGTGTGTGTGTGTGATCTCATTGTAAATGCTACAGAAGCTAGGGCTGGAGAGATGACTCAGTGGTTAGAGCATTCACTGCTCTTCCAAAGGTCCTGAGTTCAATTCCCAGCACCCACAATGGTAGTTTACAACTATCTGATTCCATGTACAGGCAGACAAGGTACCCATACACATAAAATATGTAAATAAAGCTTTAGAAATCATAAAAGCTAAAACAGTGATGGAGAGGTAGGAAAGGAACCATCATCTTTTACACACTTCCTTTTTTGGCCCCAGGATCCCCTAAGCAGCAGCAGGAAAATGCCATTCAGTTGGGGTAGTGCCAGCGCTCAATCCCACTGTTCCTTTTCCACCCTCTGCTGGCTGTCCATGGAGTTGCAAGGCCCTCTGAGGACATCTAGCAGTCTGTCCCCAAAGGGAAGGAGGTTGAATGGTTAAAGGTGGAGAGTCACATTGAAATATGTAGTGAAACATTCCACTCAAAGTGCTGTTTTTAATCTGTCAGATTTGCCTTGGTTTCCTTCCAAGTCTGGAAAATAAGGCTAAGAATACCTGTTCTCTCAGGGACTAAAGTGATGGCTGCACTTTTAGAGGACCCAAGTTCAGTTCCCAGAAATCATTTCGGGCAGCTCATGATGATCTGTAACTCCAGCTCCAAGACATCTGATGCTCTCTTCTGGACTCAGCATCACCTTCACATTCAACACACACACACACACACACACACACCTGTGATGAAAAATTAAAGGGGGGTACTGGAGAGAGGGTTAAGAGCACAGGCTCCTCTTCCAGAGGACCCAGATTCAATTCCCAGCACCCACATGGCAGTTCAGAGCAGTCTGGAACTCTTGTTTCAGGGGATCTGACATGCTCACATAGGCATACATGGAGGCAAAACACCAATGAACATAAAATATGTGTATTTAAGAAAAGGTCAGGTAGTGGTGGTGCATGCCTTTAATCTCAGCACTTGGGAGGCAGAGGCAAGCAGATTTCTGAGTTTGAGGTCAGCCTGGTCTACAGAGTGAGTTCTACAGCCAGGGCTACACAGAGAAACTGTATCTCAAAAAACAAAAACAAATAAACAAAAAGAATACCTGTCTTCAGCCAAACTTGATGGCACATGCCTCTAGTCACAGCACTCACGGAGACAGAGCTCTATGAACTCAAAGACAAGCTTGTCTACACTGAGTTTCAGGATATCTGGGACTGCATTGTGAGGCCTCATGTCAAAAAGAGAAAGGAAGGAAGGGAGGGAGGGAGGAAGTCCTTTTGCTGCTAGTTGGGTATTAGGAAATGGGGTGGCACTATTTCCCAGCCCTTTTCCTTCCAAAGAGATAACATCATATTTGACCGACTGACCCAGAAAGTTTGTAAAAGGGAAGGACTGGACCACAGTTGATGACATGCTGGGATTGGTTATGGGAGAAAGTGTGTTGGTTAAATTCCTTCCTTACCCTTGCTCCCTCTCCATCTTTCTTCTGCACAAAGGCACTGGCTCTCAGAGTTTCTAGGTAACACATAGAAATACTCTGTGGAGTGTCCAGAGCATATAGGAGTTGTTGGCCATGTTCTACTTGTGCAGTCAGGTACCCTGGGGCTGAGCCTTTGTACCAGTAGACAGATGAAGAAATGGCCTTGAGATGTAGCATGGCCACAGATATGCCAGGGCCTTGACAGAGCTGTGCCTTCCTTAGGGTCTTCTAGAAAAGCCCCTCTTAACGTTCAGATAACACTTCAAACACTCCTCTTTTTTGTTTGTTTGTTTGTTTGTGTTTTGTTTTGTTTTAGAGACGGGGTTTCTTTATATAACAGCTCTTGATGTACTGAAACTCACGCTATAGACCAGGCTGGTCTCAAACTCACAGAAATCTACCTGCCTCTGCCTCCCAAATGCTGAGATTAAAGGCCACCACCATCTGCCTTCAAACATTTCCTCTTAAGAGGCTCTGTCTGACTCCCCAAATAATGCCCTGCCTTGTGCCCATCATATATTTTATATTGTCTCTTTTCCTCGTTTCTGTAGCTCTTAATGAAATTGTCTTGTGAATGTAATTGATTGTTGATTTATCACCAAGTCCTGTAGGCTCTTGGGATAGTTTTGTCTCCATGATTACTATATTTGGCCTCATGACAGTTAATGGGTGACTGGGAGGCTGGTGTGCCCAGCCTCCCCCCAGCCCCTGCCCAGGACCCTGCTGTGATGTCTCTTTGTCTCCTCCCCTTGCAGTGAGTATGGAGTTCGGGAGGGCTGTGTGGCTCCGCTTCCACCCATCGGCTTATCCCCCGTGCCCCCACCCAAGCTTCGTGGCGCACTTGGGTGGTGTGGCTGTGGGCGTCACCCTGGGTGTGGTGGTTCTAAGAAACTATGAACAGAGACTGCAGGACCAGTCGCTATGGTGGATTTTTGTGACCATGTACACCATCTTTGTGCTGTTTGCTGTATTCTGGAACATCTTTGCCTACACACTACTGGACTTGAAGCTGCCACCACCCCCCTAAGGGACTGGAGGACCGAAGCAGGGAGGGGAAGAGGCATCCAGAGGAAATACCTGCATCTGTTTCTCATCACCAATTCGGCGAGACCAGGGGGAGCAGGAGACTCTCTGGGCCGGGATATGTGTTTCAAGTTAGAAGGGTGGGGGAGGAGATGGATGCAGCTGCTGTCATTTTCCTAGGCTGATCTGATGCTCTGGAGTCAGGGGGAGAGTACCTGTCCCATGTGCTCCCCTCTCACTGGTACAGACTGAGCAAGTAGCCTTCTTCCAGGTCCTCCACCCGGAGAGACACTTGGACACAGAGAAGTTCTGAGGACACCAACAGCCAGGCAGGCCTTCCCCAGCCCAGATGTAACTGTAGGCAAGGGCATGCTCTCTCTGCAGCTCAAGGTCTGGTACCCTGGTGGTAGACTTGTTGGTTTTGATGTGGGGGAGCCCAGAGCACCCCAGGCTCAGAGCCTTTCATTGTGTGAGCTAGCATAGCCCCTAGGGCTGGGCAGGGTGGGGAGATGCTATATTATTGCCCTGTGGGATGTGTGAGAGGGCTCCATGCCTGGGACAATGAACTTCATCCCAGGTTCCCTTTGGGAAAGGCCCAGGACCAGTTTTCCCTCTTCCTGCCTGTAGTCGTGAATACCGGCCTCTCACACCATTGTTCCTGCATCCATGCCCTACCTGGACTTTGGGGTCTTTTCTTCCCTCTCTACTGCCCTGACCCTACTTTGTGCCTCTTTTGGGTGTGGAGACAGGGTTTTGGTGTGCATGCATGTGTGTTGTGTGTACATGTATGCGTGCATGTGCAATGTCAGGCAAGTCAGAACCTGCAAAGGGGGGAAGTGGGGACAATGTACCCATGAGGACATCTGCAGGGGATTGCTGGGATGGGCGTCGTCGGTGGCTGCAGTGTGCGTGCTCAGTGGCCTTGATTTTAGCATAACTCACTACCCTCTTTCCCTATGGCCTTCCCAAACACCTTTTGAGCATCACTGGCCAGTGGAGAAATTGTTCACGCTAGAGGGAAGACCAGAGCCTTTGGGAGGGAAGGCCCAGCTGTGTTCTGGTTCACTCTGGGGTGACCTTCATGTCTGTTCTGCCTCCTAAAGAAGAAAGTCTTTGGGATGGAAGGAAGCCCAGGACAGCGATACTATGGCCATTTCCAGGAAGCTGTAGTAAGAAGTATTTCAGTGAATTTGCCTGCGTGAAGAGCTGCTGGGAGCTTGGGTGAGTGTTCAGGTGGAGAGCAGCTGTAGACTTAGATCTAGAGGGGAGTTGGAAGTGAGATTGAGGGAGTAGCCTTATGCTGCCCATATCCCAGCAGCCTCAGCTGCCAGGTCAGAAGTTAAGGCACCCAGTGCCTCTGCCCCTTCAAGACAGTCTGCTCAGGCTGGGAGCCCTGTGTGGAGGCTGTGAGGCAAATGACCTTTATATGAGCCTTGGGGTTCTCTGCCTCTGACAGTCTAGGATGAGGAACTGCAGGGCTGGGAAGTGAGGGGCAGAGCACACAGGAACAAGGACAGGAGAATGGGAACTGCTCCTGGGTCCCCTCACCATTCCAGCAATAGTTCCCACCTGGCCTCTATTCTCCTTGAGTCCCTCATCCTTCCTCTCCACTGTGGAGAGTCAGAGCTGGGATTCTGAAAGCAGTGTCACTCTTCATGCTGGTGGCTGTAGGTTGGCCTCAGAGGCTGGGGACTCCCCAAAGAGCAACTATGGAGACTCCCTTGCTTTTAAAGGGGAGAGGAGTCATGGAAACCAGTGAAGGGAAACCAGGCCTTCAAAAAAGAGAAATTTCACTTTAATGACACCATTCATCACTCATTTTTTAATTAGGAAAAGCTCCCTAATGGGGCTCTTTTGACTCTCAGTTTCCATGTGAACCATTCTTGCCTACAGCATTAGTGAAGGCATTGCTCACCAGACCCAGAGCTTCCTCTAATGTCCAATTCAGTCTGCAGATTGCCCAGTGCTATGTGCTTCCCAGGGCTGGCTGCAAAGCAGTGACTCTCCTCTGCCTTAAAAACAGTGCCCGACAGCGAGCTGCCCCTCCAAGGATTAAGTAAGTGAAAAACAAAACACTAGCCGCAACGTTGGTTCCTAAATATTTTTGTATTGTGTACATTCTGTATATTTTTGCTGTAACATATTATTTGAGCACAGATTCCATTAAAGATTTTTTTAAAGCTACCAGTTATTGAGGAAGTGACCACAAGGGCTGCCGTGGAACTGCTTTGTCTGGGTGTGGCTCACGGTGGGTGGGTGGGAGAAAAGCACTGGTGGTGGTGGGTTGATGGTTTTGGCACTGTTTTCCTGAACCTTCCCTGAATGGTTGGTGAAAATTGATTGTTCTTCTCATAACAATACACCCATGAAGGGAGATTCCTGGACAGTTTTGAAGATGGGTGCCTGAGTGACAGTCTCGGTGCCAGTGTCCCCTCAGGCTGTCTTCCCTTCCACTCATCCAGCTCTCGTAAGTGCCTGACTCTGCACTGCTCTAGGGATTGACAGTTGGCAAGGGAATGAAGAAACGTCAAACACCTGGACTCAAGAACGGGAAAGCCGTAACCCTGCCCCACAAGCTCAGAGAGTTTACTATACACTGTTGAACAGGGAAGGAGGCAGGGTACCTCATCTCAGGGGCAGTCTCTGTAGGGGCACAGTCTTCAGGACGTAAACACATGGAGGAGCAAAAGTGAGGTGGACATTTTCTACACACAGTCTGCATTTGCACACAGCAGGAGGAACATTTGCCATTCCTCTGAGCCTCACTCAGAGAAGGCTTTGCCACTCACTCCCTTGGGGCTGACACATTGGGGTCCTTGACATGGCCTTGGTCATGTCAACAATACATATTCACTCAGGATTTCACTCACTACACACATGCCTGTACACATGTGCATACGCACACACAGAGAATTAATATATGTTTGTTATTATTAGTGAAGTCTTTGAAATGCCCTCAGTAAACCTAGTCTTTAGGTCCTCCTCAGGGCCATCAACAACTTAATCTTGAACAGGGCATGGTCAAGTTCACATCCAGAAGGGGAAATGAAAGGAGCATATGTGCTCACAGCAAAGCTTGGGACTTCCAACATTTAGCAACTGAGTTGGCTTTACGTGGACGAGGCCTGGGAAAGCGAACTGTGTGCCCGCCTTTTCCAGATCAGCATCGGCCTCTGTAGCTTCCCCATTATCTACTGAAGGCTTGAGAGTTAAATTGCTCTGTTAAGTGTAGAATGGGGGTCATTTCCCTTCACCATCAATTATCTGTGTATTACTGAAAAGTGTTTCCAAACACTGTAGGAGCCATCCCAAAACTAACATCATCAAGAGTGCATTTAGTTTAGGCTAACTAAACACTCACTTTTACTTAGAAAGTGCAGAGCTGAGTTGGCTGCAAACACTTCCACTGGGACTTCCTAGGCTTCAGATTCTGAGGCATCAAGGCAGCTCCTTGGAAAACCAAAAGCTGTTTTAATGAAATTTGCCTTTGGCCTCTTCCCATTTCCCTTTTTCTTCTGTTGTCAGAGTCTCAATCAAAACATAACTTACTAAAATGTTTACCAATGATAATTTAAAAAAGTGAAAGCAGGTGGTGGTGGCACACAACTTTAATCAAAACACTCCTGAGGGAAGAGGCAAAAGGATCTCTGAGTTCAAGGCCTGCCTGTTCTATAGAGCGAGTTCCAGAACAGCCAGAGCTACATGGAGAAACCCTGTCTAGAAAACCAAAAAGGGAGGGAGAGAGGGAAGAAGGAAGGAAATAAGGGGGTAGGAAGGAAGGAAGAAAGGAAGGATAGAAGGAAGGAAGGAAAGCCAGTCTGAAAATAAGCAAATCATTGTGGCACACATCTTCAATTTGAGCATCTGAGGCACAAAACAGGCAAATGACTGATTCCAAGGGCAGCAGGGCTATACAGAGAAAGAGAAACCCTGTCTGGAGGGAAGGGGAAATTTACTAAGTCCCTACTAGATAGTGAGGTAGACATTTTCACAGTTAATTTTTTTTCAAGACAAGGTTTCTTGCCAGGCGTTGGTAGCGCACCTGATTCTGTCTTCTGAGTGTTTGGAATAAAGGAGTGTGGCACCATACTTGGCCATTTTCATAGCTGCTTTACATGAAGTGCTTATAAACAATCCCATATTTGTACAACAGTGGAAGACAGAGTTTAGTCACATGCTCATAGTATTGTATAGCTGCAACCACACTTAGGCCATATATATTTGGGTGGTAGGGGTTTGGTTTTTTTGAGACAGGTTCATGGCCAACCTGGTCTACAGAGTGAGTTCCAGGATAGCCAGGGCCACACAGAGAAACCCTGTCTCCAAAAAAAAGTTTGCCCCTCCCTTGTGCATTCCAACAGGTGACTAGAGTTTTATTCACACATACCTTTGTGTGTGTGTGTGTGTGTGTGTGTGTGTGTGTGTGTGTAGTATGACTTTACCTTAATTATTAAAGGTGTAAGTAAACTGAGCTCAATTAAGTAAAAATATTAGAAGTAGTGTTTAATTATTATTACAAATATAGTTACATTTTTGATACAAGGCAAACATATATTTCCTGTGTGTTGCACACAAGTACAATTTTATTCCATGTCTGAACATCACTTTTTAAACCTTTAAAATTTACTACATTCACTTATTAAAATTTGAATACAGTACAGGTTTCTGGTCATGAGCTGTTTCTTCTCAGGACCAACAAGATAATCAATTCCATGACATCTTTCTCTTTGTTTTCAGTAGCAGTACAGAATTTATCACAGACTTCTTTTTAAATATAAGACTACTATCTACAATTGTGTAATGTAGTGGGCCTACATTGCAAGGGAAGTACCTGCAAATAAACAGAGTTATACTTTGCCTATATCCCCAAATGATTTAATGCATTTGCTTTTATTATTATTATTATAATTTTGGGTAAAACATTTGCTTTTATTTTTATTATTTTTGATGTGTATGTTTGTGTGCACAGACATACAGAGGCTAGAGCTCAACCCCTCAGGAGCCATCTGCCCTTTTGTTTTAGTATGTTAATTGATTCTGGGGGATGCGTGTGTAGGGGTCACAGAGCAGCTTGCAGGAGTGGGTTCTCTCCTCCTTTCCATGGATTCTGGAGATAGCTCTTGGGCCGCCAGACTTGGTGGCAAGGGCCTTTATCCACTGAGGTATCTCTCTGGCTCATTTTTATTTGTTTTCAAATAAAGTCTCTAACTGACCTGAAGCTAACCAAGTAAGTTGGATATTATGGGGATTCTGTCACAGGTCTGCTAGTCAATTGAGAGGAGCATTTTGATTCAAGAGGCAGGGCTTTCATTGGGGATTGATGTGACTGACCCAAGGAGAGGCAGCCCTTTTGAGCAGTGGATATTAGCTGTTTGCAGCTGGGTTCTGGTTCCTCATTTGGTGCTTTAATATTTGTGCATGGATTTTGCTCGATACTGAATGGTTAAAAAAAAACAAAGCATTTATCAGCTAGGCTGGCCAGTAGGTCTGTCCTGCCTCATCAGCACTAGGACTACAAACACATGCTACCACAGACACTTGACTTTTGTATGTGTGTTCTTAGGATCAAACTCAGGTCCTCATGTTTGCATGGCAAGGCCTTTATAATGACTGAGCTAGCCCCTACATTTATTTTTTAAATGTCACTTCCACAGACTCTTGATTGTGAACTTGAAAATGAAGATTTTTGTCTTATAGTCTCAAGATGTTGATGCCCTAATGTTGCTCACTTTTATAAAATGATTTCCAAGTGGCCAACCAAGTGCATTAGGAAAAGATTGCAGAAAAGGGCGGCAGAACCACTGACTGACCATCCAGTCGTCAGACAGCTATAAAAATGCTACTTAGACTCTATCCTATACTGCCTATAATTCAAGTTATTAAACTTTAAAGCCACATGAAAGCATTTATGAAGATCCTGAATTGTATTTCTCATTAAAGGAAAAGAAAGGGTGTGGTGAGTCATGTCCCTAGGCTGACATATGAAGAGAAGGCAGAAGGCCACTGTCAGTCACTCTGAAAGTTAGAACTCAGCTCTTAGCAGGAGTTTACAAGCAGTTAAGAGTTCCTTGGTTACAGGCTTCTGCTCCTCTGAACATCCCGACAGCAGTGAGAGCACAAGGCTTCTGATTTTCCATACCAAAATCATCAGCAAATGGATTCACTAAAGAGCTATGCAGAACCACTATGTGTGTGGCTGCAGCTGGCATCCATGGCAGTTAGAAATGGCCACCCAAGGGCACTTACAGTTGATTCAGGGTAAAATAATCTAAGGCTTGTGACACAGGTCCAAACTAAAATCAACATGCAATTGTGAAAGGAAAAATTTGTTTTCATTTTTTATATTATTTATTTATTTATTAAGACAGGGTCTCACTATTTAGCCCTGGTTGACCTAGAACTTGCTATGTAAGTCAGTACACCAGACTGGCCCTGAACTTACAGGACTCCAACTACTTCTGGCTTGTGGAATGATATATTCAAAGGCACCCATTACCACACTGGCCTCCAGTTTGCATTCTTATATTTGCTTGTAGAGGATATTTAATGTGTTTACTATTTTGTCTTGTTTTCCTTAATACTGTTTAAAAAAAAAAAATCCCAGCATTTTCATCTTTAAAAAAAGGAAGAAAATACAGGCTCCTGGCAAGTAAATACCTATGAATGATATGCCCCCTTCTGCAAAAGCTTTTCATCTGAGAGAATATTTCATATTAAAGCTAGTGCACACATTTTTTAAGATTATTTTATATGTGTGTACGTTTTGCCTGAATGTAGGTCTGTACATTACATATGTGCCTGATGCCTGAGGAGGTCAGAACAGGGTATCAAATTCCCTGGAATTGAAGTTACAGATGTTATAAGCCTTCATGTAGGTGCTGGGAACCAAACCTGAATATTCTCCAAAAGCAATAGTGCTCTTAAACCACTGAGCCACCTCTATAGCCCCCTATTTCTTATTGTATTTATTATATGTGTGTGTGTGGGTGGGGTGTCAGAGGGCAACTTATGGGAGTTGGTTCTCTCCTACTGTGTGGGTGCTGGGAACTAAGCATAGGTTGTCAGACTTGGTGGCAGGCTTCTTTACCTTCTGAGCCACCTTGCCGCCAGTCCAAAAGTATCTATATACAATATAAAGCTCATTTTTAAACTTTCTATTTATTTATGTATTTTGTTTTTTCTTTTTTTTTTTTTTCTTTTATGTTTTGGTTTTTCAAGACAGGGTTTCTCTCTCTCTGTAGCTTTGTAGTCCAGGCTGGCCTCAAACTCATAGAGATCCACCTGCCTCTGCATCCAGAGTGCTGGGAATAAAGGTGTACATCACCACAGCCCAGCTCACTTTTAAATTCTCATACACTTTTGATTTATTTGCATATTGGCTTTAAAAAGGTGGCATCATTGTTCCTGCCAATCATCAATGTGTATCAGGCACCTACAGGACAAGCAGTATGGTCTTGCAAGTAAAACCAGTATGATGATGATTGCTATTTGGTGCAAGCTGGATACAAATTTACTCTGTAGCTCAGGCTGGCCTGGAACTTGAAACCTCCTGCCTCAACCTTCTTAGTAGCTGGGATTACAGGCACATGATATTACATCTCATCACATCTCACTAGGAACATAAACTTCAAAAAATTCTACTGTATTGAAAAAGAGGTACTTTTTTTTTTTTTTTTTTTTTTTTTTTTTTTTGAGGAGGAGGAAAACCTGCTAAATACTACAGTAAGCTCCCGAGAAGGCAAACATTACCTCCAAAGCTTTTGAGGCAGCAAATGTTTGAAGGTTAAAATTTATGAGACTAGCAATGAGTAAAATTCCACAATTATAATAGACATTATCTGCCTAGGACTCTGTGAAGATAATCCTCAGACTTTTGTGTTTAATTAAGTTCAACAAAGAACATACAAAAGGAAGAGAGAACCTGGGTGTTTCCAGTCATCTTAGGAGCAGTGTAATCCTATAAATGATGACAGCTACAGCTCCACACATGCAACCTCAATGAGTGTCATGATCAAAACCTCAGTTGATTGCTTCTCTCATGAATTCTTCAAGGACCGCCACCACACTTTTGGCTTCAGGCATTTCTTCATGTTCCACTTTAACAATCTTCAAAAGAATATCTCCACTGCCACAGTTCTTAAGGAACATGTAACATTTAAACAAAGCATAGTGATTCATCTCTGCCTGTCGGATAAATCTCTTCAAATTGTTTGTGTCTTGTATGGCCTAGGAAAAGATTATCCAGTTAAATCTAATTAGTGAGGTAATGACAAGACTCGGAGAACACCCCCCCCCCACAAGCTGAAAACTCTGTGTATGTTGACAATATAGGCTTTTGCTTTATTTGGTTTTGTTTTGTTTTCTAAGGATAGGGTCTCATTATGTAACCCTGGCTGTCTCCAAACTCACTTTGTAGACCAGGCTGACCTCAAACTCACAGAGGGTTTGCCTGCCTCTGCCTCCCATTGCTGGGATTAAAGGTGTGTACCACCACACCTGGCTAATGTTGGGCTTCTTAAAAACCACCCCATTCTTCCTATGGCTAGTATGCTTTGCCTTTGGTGTAACAGAATTTCACATTTTAAAAGACTTTTAAAAGTCTTTTGCCAGGCGTTGGTAGATCTCTGTGAGCTCAAAGCCACCTGGTCAAATTTCAGGACAGCCAGGGCTGTTACATAGAGAAACCCTATCTCAAAAAAAAAAAAAAAAAAAAAAAAAAAAAAAAGAAAGGAAAACAAATTATTTAAATTTAAAATCTCCTAGGTGACAGCACTCACCTACCAGAATTTGAACCCATTTGTTTTTGTGTATTGCATCACAAGTTATCAGCTTGATGTCCCCTAAATATAAGCAAGCAATTCACCACAAAATATTGGAAATGACATTGCAAGCATGCAATGTTGCTGGGCAGCAGGTGCCTTCTATAACACAAGAACTGAGGATGCCTCATTTAAAGAACATTGTGACTATAAAAGCCAGTCCCTGATGCTATCACTTGCATTAATTAGATTCATAACAAAAACACTGTATATGGCCCTTGGCACATGGCCAATTCAGTACCTTTAGTTTAAAATTCTCCAGGACTTGTCTGAAAAGAAAAGGGTTACCCGCTTCAGCACCATGTAAGAAAGCTTGCATCCAGTCCTCACAAAAACGGTTGCTTCCTAAATAACAGCAAACAAAATTAAACACCACAAAGCACATGTATGTCAGTTTTAACAGATTTTACTTCATTTTTCTTTTTGTTGTTGTTTTATTTTGCTTTGCTTTTTTCGAGACAGGTTTTCTCTGTGTAGCTTTGTAGATCACGCTGCTGACCTTGAACTCACAGAGATCTGCCTGCCTCTGCCTCCCAAGTGCACCACTGCCACCCAGCTCTTTCATTATTTTCAATGTGTGTGTGCGCACACACTCCTTACACATGTGCACACATGAATACAGGTGTCATAGGAGACCTCAAATGTTGCATGCCCTCCAACATGGGTGCTGGGAACAAACTCTCTGTAAGAGCAGCACATGCTAGTAACCACAGATACATCTATACTCTAGTCCTAGCACATGGATTTTTCTTTTCCTTTCTTTCTTTCTTTCTTATTTATTTATTTATTTATTTTGAGACAGGGTTTCTCTACAAAACAGCCTTGGATGTCATGGAATTCACTCTGTAGACCAGGTTGGCCTCAAACTCACAGAGATCCGCCTGCCTCTGCCTCCTGTACACTGCAATTAAAGGTGTGCATCACCACTGCCCAGCACAGGACTTTCTTTTAAAAAAAAAAAAAAATTGTAATTACTTATTTAAAACTTCTCTGTGGCTTCAAAAATAGTTATGCTTACTACATGGTAAGAAATAGTAAACAGTTGAAGCCCCATCATCACATTTCCCTCTATTCCCATCAGAAAGGACTATCATTCCTATACATGCTTTAAGCTTTGGCTAGCTCCCTTTACCTTGTATATGTATTGTTTTGTACATGTTAAAGCTTTGTGTGTTTTTCTTAGTGCCTGTTTCACTATACAGTATGTTTCAGAAACATATTAACATGTATCTCTAGTTTGATTTTAGCCTTTCTATATTCCATCATGTGAACTAGCAGTTTATTGATTTCTTGTTGTTAAACATTTAAGTTGCATCCAATTTGTTATATCAAAAAATGTCTTTAGAAGTCAGATGTGTTGGTATATGCCTTTAATCTCATCACTCAGGAGGCAGAGGCAGGTGGATCTCTATGAATTTGAGGTCAGTCTGATCTACAAAGTGAATTCCAGGACAGCAGCTGGAGCTACACAATGAAACCCTGTCTTGAAAAACAACAAAAACAAATAAGTAAATGTTTTTACATGCCTTTAGAGCTGGGGAAGTGGCTCACTTGGGCATGCACACATGAGGTTCTGAGATCAGATCTCTAACACTCATAAGAAGCCAGATACAGAAATGCACATCTGAATCCCACTTTTCCTTTGTTGAAATAGCAGGTGTAGACAGGAAAACCCCCAAACCATTGAGGGCTTGCTAGACTGACATATAGAGCAGGCAATGAAAAACTATCTCCTTTGGTGAGGTCTGACTCCCAATGTTGTCCTGTGATCCCCACGTGTGTGTGCTGCAGTACACTCGCACACAAAGACACACACCATACACACACTCAAAAGTTTTTTTTGCCAGTTGTGGTTGCACATGTCTTTAATGCCAGCACTTGGAAAGCAGATGCAGGTGGATCTCTGAGTGGGAGCCAACCTGGTCTACAAACCAAGTTCCGGGATAAACAGAGCTGCCACATATAGAAACTCTGTCTTGAAAAACAAAAAAACAAAACATTTTTTTTTCTTAATACAGTGGCACATAGCTTTAACCACAGCACTCAGGAGTCAAAGGAGGGTGGATCTATGAGTTCGAGACCAGCCTGATCTACATATAACAACAACAAAAATCCAAAAACAAGAAAATGCCTGTAAGCCAGGTATGGTGATGTATGTCTATGATCTCAATACTTGAGAGGCATGGAGGTAGGAGGTTTAGAAGTTCAAGGCTAGTATAGCCTACATGAAGCACACTTGTAATCCTAGGAGAGCTAGGCAGGGGATTATCAGCTCATGGCCAACCTAGACTATACAGTGAGAAACTGTCTCAAAATTTAAAAAAAAAAAAAAAAAAAAAAAGAATGAAAGAAAGAAAAATGCCTGTATGAGTACTTTCATATTTGTTTCTGTGTGCACACATGTGAGTTTTCTTATGTACATTGGATGGAATACCAAGCATGACTTCAATCCCATGTTTCTAGGATCATTTATGCTTCAGAAAGCTTAGTTCAGCACAAGAAGAACATGTCTGTGTCATGTGTTTTCAGTGCAGGAGTCCCACAAACACTGCTTCTAGGTTTCCAACTCACCTGCATTGTAGAACTGAGGCTGGGGGCCACTGCAGTCAATGATAACAGACTTATGTTGCTCCTCTGTCATGGCCATGCACAAAGAGTTCATGGTGCCTTCATGAATCAGTCCTTGGAGACTGGCCACACTCAGAAACCTGTCACATACACAAGTCCTTTTCCACAAACAGCATTGCAGAACAGGAGAAAACAAATGCATTCCATACTAGGGGTGGGAGGTTAAAATGTAGCTGTTCAGCTTGGGGTGGGGGGGCTTTCTTCGGAAAGTATGTTCATTACCTGTTAATGTCTCTCTTTGTTTTTTCATCTGACTCTTTAAGCTCAACAGGAGTATAACTTAAAGCCTATAAGAGAGAGAGGGAACCAGTTTGATACATGCCTCTGTTCCTCACTGACTCACCACTCCTGTCCACACGCACAGTCTGCCTGTCATCACACATGGGTACTATGAAAACTGCCCATCACATCTTTTGCTCAGTGGCTGCCTGTAGCATTTGAAGGCAAAGCTGGTTTTCCATTGATTTAGATTAAACCCAGGACCTTATACACTTGACACAATTACTCTATTTACTTACTTATTTATCTTAATGGGGGCTGCATGCATACCATGGCACTCATGTGAAGGTCAGAGGTCAACTTGTAGGAATCAGTGTTCTTCCAGCCTGAAGGTTCAGGGATTGAACTCAGGTTGTCAGACTTGGCAGTAAATCTATTACACTGGCCCCCAAATCTATCTATTAATTGCATGTGTGTACATGTGTGCACTTGTATATAAAAGTGCCAAGGAATGTATGTGGAAGTCAGGACAATTCTGGGATTTGGTTCTCTCCTGCCACCTTGTGGAATCTAGGCACTGAATCCAGGTCATCAGGCCTGTGCAGGGCCCAAACACTTTGATACAGTTAAAATTAGTTTGCATTTTGCTTTCGTTTTCAGATACTCTGGAAATGACCCCTGTTTCCCAGCATTTCAAACAGTAATTATTTCAATCAGGCGTGGCTGGGCAGGTCCATAATCTCAAGAAGCTGAAGCAGTAAGACTGGAAGTTTGGAGTCAGAGCTGGAAATGACTCAGTTGAGTATAAGTGCTAGCTGCTCCAGCCAGCCAGCCTGAGTGCCATGCCCAGAGCCACATAAGGAGCCAGATCTGAGGACAAGCCCCATCCCTGCACTCTCACCATGAGACAATCAGCAGAAAGCCGGAGAGCCAGCCAGCCTGTTAGGATGCCACAAGGTGGGAAATGAAAACTCACAAGCACACACACACACACACACACACACACACACACACAAAGATACTAAATAAGTCTTTTCTTAAAAAAAAAAAAAAAAAAAGTTAAGCCATCCTAGGCTAAACAGTGAAGCCCTATCTTTATTTATTTATTTGTTTGTTGGCAGTTTCTCTATGTAGCCTTGGATGTCCTTGAACTTGTCTAGACCAGGCTTGCCTCTAACTCACAGAGATCCGTCTCCTAAGTGCTGGGGTTAAAGGCACGTGCCACAGACACCTGGTTTGCCAAGGAGTTTCTAACTGGGCATACTCTTTGGTGCACAATACTTACGGCATGTAGCAGAAATGTCAGTTTCTCCTGAAAGAAAAGAACCACCCTTTGGATCGGACACACCACATCCTCATACCAGCTGTTCAGATAGGACTTTACATCATTCCCCAGGCTTTCCTAGATCAAGAAAGAATGTTATTTGCTTTAACATCACAAAAGCCTTTAGCTTAGTGGACTTTTTTCTTCAATATATACTTTCTCTGTATACATGGTATATGTATTTGTGTGTATGTGTAAACTCAGGGTTTATATTAGGTATATTTCTCAATTGCTCTCCACCTTAATTTTTTAAACTACATTTTTAGAAGTGGGGTGCTGGTGGTGGACACCAGTGTCTGTGTTTAGATCAGAGGACAACTTGTAGAAGTCAATTCTGGCCTTCACCCATGTGGGTGCTGGAGATGAACTCAGATCATCAGTCTTAGTGGCAGGTACCATCTCTCCAACTTCTCCATCTTCTTTTCTTGAGACAGGGTCTTTCACTGAGCCTGGAGCTCACTGATTTGCTAGGCTGGCTAGTTAATGAGATACAGGGATCTACCTGACCTTCGCCACTTCAGCATGTCACCATACCCAGAACGTTTTGTTTGTTTGTTTTGGTTTCTCTGTAGCTTTGAAGACCATGCTGGCCTCAAACTCACAGAGACCCTATCTCAAAACAAACAAACAAACAAAAAACAAAACAAAGGAATGGTGACCCAGTTTTCCAGGACTGGACTGAAGGAGCAGGGCTCTGTGCAGTTCTCCACTGCACTTCACCCTCATTAGAAACATGCTTCTCACCTCCCTAATGCTGCGACCCTTTAACCCAGTTCCTCAACGTTATGGCGACCCCCAACATAAAATTATTTTTGTTGCTACTTCATAACTGTAATTTTGCTACTGCTATGAATCATAACAAATATTTTTGGTGATAGAGGTTGTTAAGGGGATCTCGACCCACAGGTGCTCCAAATAATCTCATTTCTCCATCTTGACTTTGTTTGAACGCATTAGAGAGTGTAGACAGTATGTTACACTCAGAATGTGAATAAGACAGGATACAAGGAACTAGTTAAAGTATGAAGCCCGCTACTTATCAGACATGGTCCATGAGCACACCTGGCTCTCTAGACTGTACTGCTTTCTGGAGACAACTGTCAATCAGGAAGAACTCCAGTCTGGGAGAGCCCAGGACTCCAGCTTCAATCCCTGGCTCACAGCTCTCCTGTCCTTTCCTCTCCTCCTGCATTAGCTTCTAAGTCCAAGAACGATCACTACATGTGTTAGGAGACTTAACTAATAGGTGCTGTAAGCTAAAGGTGTAGTCTTTTCAGACAAGGTCTCACAGAATTTTGGTGAGTGTCAAACTCTCTGTTGCTGTGGCTGGCCTTCCACTCCCTGAAAGCACAGCTTTGACAGGTTTGGATAAATTAGTCAATATAGATGTGTCTGATTTATAAAAGAGTAATAAAGATGGAATGTTTTTAAAACTTGATATCTATAGATTGTGGCAGAGCATATCTTTGATGCCATAAGCTGCATGGACCACTAGTGCTATCCAAAATACAGACCCTATGTGCCTAGAAATCAGATAAAAGGCATCTTCTTCTCCACTAGTTGTTATTAACTGCCAGCAAATTTTACCTAGATGTGTCTGCTTTTACACTTTATTTCTGTGCACACGTGTACGCATGTGACATACATATGCAGAGTTCAGAGAAGCCATGGGAGTCAGTTCTCTTTCCACAGTGTGACAGACTTGGGTAGACTTGGTGGCAGGTGCATTTACCTTTGAGCCATCACACCAGCTGTGCTTGGTTTTTAATTTAGTCTATGTGTATGGGGATTTTGCCTGTATGCATGTCTGTGTACCACATGTGTATAGTGACTGCATAGGCCAGAGGATGGTGTCTGATCCCCTGGAACTAGAGCTACAGATGGTTGTGAGCCACCAGGAGGGTACTGGGTCCTCTGGAATAGCAACCAGAGTGTTCTTCTTTTGTTTTGTTTTCTTTTTAGAAAGAGGGTTTCTTTGTAGCTTTGGAGGTTGTCCTGGAATGTAGGCCAGGATGGCCTTGAACTCACAGAGATCTGCCTGCCTCTGTCTCCTGAGTGCTGGGATTAAAGGCATGCACCACCACCCTGCAACCAGTATTCTTAACCACTGGGCCATCCTTCCAGTTCCTTGCTTTCCTTTTGAGACAGGGTCCACTATGTAGCTCTGGCTGGCTTGGAACTCACTAGGTAAACTAGGCTTGCCTCATACTCTGCTTCCCAAGTGCTGGGATGATGGGTGGGTTTCCACAATCAGACTGAATGAACATTGAAATTTTTCTCAATGCAACACATCAAAAGCAGAATCATAAGATCTTCAGCTCCTATGACACAGCTGCATCCCCTGCTTGAGCCCCACTTCACTTACCTACTGCCCACAAGGTGAGGAATTAGAACTGAAGGGTTTGGTGGCTACCACCCAGTGACCCAAACAGTACAGCAGTCCTGGTATGTGCATCACTTTAATCTTTTAAAGTAATTCATCTTACCTCGCAATTCATGTTATTTTTCAGTCCTTGAATATACTTGTCCAATTCAAGCCTGAAAGTATGTTCTTAAGGAAGAGATATAGAATGATAAATCAATATTTTACCTCTCAGCAGGAAATACAAGGTTGCCACGCCTTTGATCCCAGAACTTGGGAGGCAGAAGCAGGCAGAGCTCTGAGTTTGAGGAGCCCAGAATGGTTTACAGATTGAATTTCAGGAGAGGCACCAAAGCTACACAGAGAAACCCTGTCTCAAAAAAACAAAACAAAACAAAACAAAATGCAAGGTCTAATCTGGGCATCATGGCACACACCTTTAATCCAAGACTGAGAGTCAGAGGCAGGTGGATCTCTATAGCGAGCTCCCTGCCAGTCAAGACTACAAGACTACAAAGTGAGACCGTGTTTCAAAAAAAAAAAAAAAAAAAAAAAAAAAAAGGGAAAGACAAAATCTCTCAAATACTACAAACTGGGTCAAATCAAGCTTAGGCCACAAATGACATTCAGACACACCCTTATGGGCGGAGAAGGTAGTAGCAGGGTGAGAGCTACTATCCCCTTCCTCCCATGTTTTCCCTCCCGATACCCTCAAGTACCAAAGAAAGGATATAGCTCCAGTCCTTTTTCAGAGCCTCCTAAGAAGCAGACCACATACTCAGAAGGGCTGTGTTCAGATTCCACTGCTCCTGTTTCAGGAAGCAGTTTTTCCTGCTGGAAAAGGCAGTAATAACAACCAACTCGGTAACCTGGAATTCTAGAAAAGAAGGAGAACGATAAAGTGACATATCTGGTCCTCACGCTCCTCATTTTGTAGATGACTCTGAACCCTGGTCTTGATCTGGTAACACTTTCAGATCCCACTCGTGCAGGGATTCCCAACCTCATCTGTCTTAGTAGAGCAGCATGTGTGAAAGCATGTCACAGACTATTGGCATACAAGGCATTTCCACTTTGGTAGTTAACTTTTTAAAATGATGCTATAGGGCAGAGAGCTCTGCACACACTAGGTAAGTGCTCTACATCAGGGCTACATCTCCACCCTGCAATCTTTTGTCTAAGTATAAAGCAGACTAAAGTACACCGAGGTGCCAGAATCTCACTCAATCTAACTTCACAACATTTATGTGTGAGATTCATTGCTCTGGCTGGGAGTAGAAAGGGAGGAGGTGCTGAAAAACAAAACAAAAGATGTTTTCTATGGATCTAGATCTTTTCAAGTTTCTCCACATGTCTCATGTTTAGCTCAGAAATAAAAAACACAGAAGACAGCATATTTTATACTTACCTCAGCTCTACAGATGCAACATTACCCAGCCCTTCAAAGAACGCTCCTTTGGAAAGACGCTTAGCAATGAAACTGCGCAGCTCTGGCTCCACTTCAGATGGTAGATTAGTATCCACCAAGGAGAGGCTTCACAAATCAAAGACACACATTCCTTAGCAGCAAGCAGTACATGCACACCCATAAATCACATACAGTGCACCAGAGCCAGGACCTCAGTCTCTCTCAACAGGGTCCCTATGTAGCCCAGGCTGGTCTTGAACTAACCACATAGCCAAGGTTAACCTCAAACTTGCTCCACAATGTTTTTTTTTTGGGGGGGAGGGAGGGTTGGAGACAGGGTTTCTCTGTATTGCTTTTGACTCCCAGACCATAGTGCTATTGGAAGTATTACAACTCTTAGGAGATGAGAGGAAGTTAACTCGTTGAAGTATGTATGACCTTAACAACATATGGGGACCCTAAGTGGTTGGCCAGCTGGCTGGAAGCCTGCCTGCCTCCCTCCCTTTTTCCCTTTCTCCCTAGCTGCCATGAAGTTAACAGGCTCTTCCGCCACATGCTCCTGCCACAGGCTCACAGGCACAGGGTCAAGAAACCACAGACTGAGACCTCTAAAACTGAGTCAAATTAACCTTTCCCCTTAAAGATGACTATCTTCCCAGGTGTAGTGGTGTAAGTCTTTAGTCCCAGCAATTGGGAGGCAGAAGCAGGTAGATCCATGTGAGTTTTCTCCTTCTACCTTATGAATTCTGCACTTAAAACTCAACTCATCAGGCTTGGCAGCAGTAGCTTTACGTGGTGCATCATGTCAGACAATCTGGATCTGGAGTTAGAGGTGGTTGTGAGGCACCTCACTTGGGTGCTGGGAACTGAACTTGGGTTCTCTGAAAAGTATTATGTTCTCTTAGCCACTAAGCCATGCCTTTAACCTCTTCCTTCCTTCCTTCCTTCCTTCCTTCCTTTTTCAGTTTTATTATTTTATGTGTAGGGGTGTCTTGTCTGCATGTTTGTGTTCGAAATGTGTGTCTGGTGTCTGTGGAGGCCAGAGGAGGGCATCAGCTTCCCATAACTGGAGTTACATTTGGTTGTAAGCCACCATGTGGACATTGAACCTGGAAGAGTAGCCAGTTTCCTTAACCACTAAGCCATTTCTCCAGACCTAATTTTTTTTTTTTTTTTAAGATAGGGTATCATGTAGCTCAGTCTACTTCAAACTCAGTGTAACTGAAGATCTTCAACTGCTTTTGTGTGTTTATATGAATTGCACATTCATGTGTGTGCAGGGACATCTGTGTATGCATGTGCACATACTTATAAAGGCTAGAAGTTAACCTGTTCCTCACATGCTGTGCAGCTTACTTTTTTGAGGCAGGGTCTGTCACTGGGACCTGGGGCTTATGGATTAGGCTAGGCTGGCTGGCTATCAAGACCCAGGGATCCTCTCTGCTTACCCTGGGCTGGGATTACAAGTACACCATTCTACTCAACTTTTACCTGGATTGTGAGAATTGAAGTTGGATCCTCATATACTTTATAGACTGAGCTATCTTCCCAACCTGACATTGAACTTCTAATATTCCTGCACTCTACCTCCCAAGTACTGGAATTACAGGTGAATGCCACCATATTTGGCTGCTGTTTTTATTTATTTTTGTTTTATTTATTTATTTATTTATTTTTGAGACAAGGGTTCTCTGTATAGTCTTGACTATTCTGGAACTTGTCTGTAGACCTGACTGGCCTCAAACTCAGAGACCCATCTGCATCAGCTCCTGAGTGCTGGGATCAAAGGCATACCCCCTACTTTATTTTTTAATATAAATCTTGATAGAAATATTATCTTGAATTTTTTTACTGGAGTTCTATTCAAGAAACTCAAAAGAAGTCCATGAGGCTAATCGCAGGGTGTTGCCAGTACTTGCATCTTCTCCTGCCTAGAGTGAAAGAGCCAAGGAGGGAATAGGGAGAGGTTCCTAGGACATAGGAGGAGCTGATGATGGCTGACTCAGAGAAAGCTCAGTAGCAACAGGACATCCACTGATATCTACAGATATGCACAGATCATAAAAGCACTCAAGTGCTTAACACGTAACTGTTTTTACCTGAAATCATCACCAGAGGGAGTTTCTGCATCTGTACCACTTGATCTGCCATCATCACTCTCCCCTCGATGCTGTGTCAATCTGCAAGATGTGATACAACAAACAGTACTATCAGTTAAGGGCTGTAAATCAAGCAGAGTGCCCAGCCTTTGCAAGCTGGGTAAAAGCAAGGAAACAACTAAAATGCTGCAAGGCCAAAGAAACCCCATAAAAGAGTGCTGACAAGAGCCCCCTTTCTCTTCATTGGATTTAATAAGTGGAGAAAAGACCTAATGTCCCGAAAGTGTGAAGAAACTGTTCTCTATAAATAAATTAAGGGCTGGAGAGATGGCTCAGGGGTTAAGAGCACTGGCTGCTCTTCCAGAGGACTTGGATTAGATTACTAGTACCCATATGGCAGCTCACAATTGTCTGTAACCCTTGTTCCAGGGACTCAAACACTCTCACACAGACATACATGAAAGCAAAATACCAACACACATATTTAAAAAAAAAAAAAAAAGAAAAGAAAAAGTTAGCTAATTAAAAAACAAACAAGGCCTGCAGAGATATCTCAGCGATAAAGAGCGACCAATGCTCTTGGGGAAGGATCCATATTTAGTTCCCAGTACCCACTTAGGGCACCTCACTATCAATTGTAACTCAATTCTAGGAGTATCTATCTGATGCCTCTGGCTTCAGAGAGCACCTGCACGCATGTGCGAATACCCACACAGAGACACATAATTAAAAATGTAAACACATCTTTAAAAAGTCCAGGGCTCCTGGAAAGTCAGCCAGGGTGGGCAGTGGGTACCGAGGGGAGAGAAAGGCATCAAGAATCGAGGAAACTAGAGGGAGGCATGAAAGTGTGTAGTAATAATGAAGGAAATTGGGGGACAGCCGCTGAGGGCAGGGAACAGACACTGAAGGACCGCGCTGAATAGATGTCAGGTGGTGCGGTGACAGGGGTTAAAAGAGGACAGGGGGCTTGGGAGTGCAGGACATAAAAGCCAAGACGGGCCGTGAAGAACCGACTGAGGCCAGAAGGGCCCATCGGGCCAGAGACCTTGGCTGGGAGAGGAGATGGCGAGTAGGGGCTTCGGGGTGCAAGGCCGGGCGGCGGGGCCTCGGGCGCAGCGGGCAGGACGCGGGCACCTGCTTCCGCGGTAGTTGTACAGGCAATAGTGTCTGCCGGGTGGCGGCTCGAGTCTCCGCTCCTCCGCAGAGCAACCCTCCTCGCTGCTCTCCAGTTCCTTATCATCCCCATCCAGCGATTCCTGCAAAGACGGGAGCATCGCAGCTGCTTCCTCGCGGCCCTGTGTCTCCGCCAAACCGTTCCCCCTCAGCTGGGCTGTCCTCTGTGCGCCGGCTCGACCTCCTCCCAGGCCCTCGCACAGCTGAGTTCCGCTGGCTTTCTGAGTCTGGGACAGGAAAACCGATTTGGAGATTTTTAAAAACTATTTCTTTTTAACTGACTTTCCTCCACCAATTGACGTATCAAGGAGACAGTATATGCTGAAGATGGTACCACTGCTCTCCTGTCTTCTTTCCGTGTGCAAAGAAGACATGCATGTAATACAGTTTGATCAAAGACACTAATTTAGTCGGACCTGATGGAGTGCCCCGTTAATCATAGTACTTTAATGGCAAAGACAGGAGGATCTCTGTGAACTCGAGGCCTCCAGGCCAGGTAGGGCTACACAGTGAGACTCTGCCACAAAAATAAAATTATATAAAGACAAGATGCCAGGAAATGGTGGCACATTCCTTTAATCCCTGAAGGCAAAAGTAGGCAGAACTCTGAATTCCAGGCTAACCTTATCGACAGAGCAAGGCCCAGGACAGCCAGGAACATACAGAGAAAACCTGTCTCAAATAGTAGTAGTAGTAGTAGTAGTAGTAGTAGTAGTAGTAGTAGTAATAGTAATAGATAATAATAATGCACGGATTTCATCATCATTATAATATATAAATTTAAAATGGAATGTGAGAGAGAGTTTTAAATTCTTGGATTTCACCAGGTGGTGGTGCAGGCCTTTTAATCCCAGCATTGGGGAAGTAGGTGGATCTCTATGAGTTCAAAGACAGCCAGATCTACAGAATGAGTTCCAGGACATCCAGGCTGTTACACAGACAAAACCCTGTGTCAAACAAACAAACATGTAAACAAATAAATTCTTGAATTTAAACAGTGCTTTCTAAACACAACAAAATATTTAGAAGCCATATACAGAAACTTTTTTAAAGTTTATTTATTCTTATTTTATATGCCGTTTTGTCTGCATGTATATCTGTGTGAAGGTGTCAGATCTTGGAGTTACAGACAGTTGTGAGCTATCCTGTAGGTGCTGGAAATTGAACCCTGCTCCTCTGGAAGAACAGCCAGTGCTCTTACTTGCTGAGCCATCTCTCTAGCCTCTATAGAAGCTTCGTTTTTAGCTGATTACATAAAAATTGAACAAGTAGGTCACCCATGTGGCTTGGAAGGAAGATATTCCATATATTTTTTTATTTATTTTGAGCCAAGATGAATGACCCTGGCCACAAGGTCAAATTACCCAAAATGACTTAATTTTCCCATGAAAGAGGTTGCACAAATTTTTATGCTCCCAAAGGAAAATAGGTAGAATCATCAAGTAAGGGAGGCTCTTCTACAGGACAAACATGGTCTCTTTAACCAGGCAATGAAATGTTTTCGAATATCCTGATGTTATCATTCTTGGCTTTGAGATTGAGAGGAGCCTGGGTCTGCAAAGCTTTTACATTCCAAGAGTTTTACTAGTATGTACAAGATGCTAGCTCATATATAGAAGTCAACAGTACTTGGCCCTAAAAGATATGCCAAGGTGACTTTGGCTTCTCTAGCTACCACATTCCATCTATTTAACATTGCAGGACTCCCTACAGTTAGCCAAGGTCAAACTTCAAGCTCTTCAATGTCGATCAGGCTTTTTAGAACTTCAGTTCACAATATAAATGATAGTCTTCAAAAAATTCTTCCCACATTTATATTAGATGAAGTGCTTTCATTTATGAGAGGCAGGGAGAGAGGAGAGGAGAAAGTGGAAAGAGGAAGTAGTTGGCTGGAGAAAAACAAAGTCTATATAAATAACCCACTCAATATCAAAAAAGAATGATTGCACATGTGGGGTTTGAATGGTACCCATAGGCTCATATATTTGAATGCTTGCTCCCCAGTTGGTGATATTGTTTGAAAAGGCTTAAGAGGTGTGGCTGCTTCAGAGGAAGTGTATCACAGGGGACAGGCTTTGAGGTTTCAAAGGTTCATGCTACTCCCAGTGTGTTCTTGCCTCCTGTTTGTGGTTCTGTGATGTAAGCTCTCAGCTGTTCCTGCCACCATCATGGACTCTAACTCTCTGAAACCATGAGGGCAATTAAACGTCTTATTTTATAAGTTGCCTTGTAATGATGTTTTATCACAGGAACAGAAAAGTAACTAAGATGAGCACTGTATGAAGATAGAGGAAGACTGGAGTGATGTATCTACAAGCCAAAGATGGTTGCTGAAGTTTTGGAAAGAGGCATTTAAACACATCATCCAAGCCTTCAAGAGAGTATGGTCCCACTGATACCTTGATTTCAACTTCAAATCTCCAGCATGGGAAGAAAATAAATTTCTGGGTTTTTTTTTTGGGGGGGGGGGTTGGTTGGTTTTTTGTTCTTGAGTTAGGGTTTCTCTTTGTTTCAGCTTTTGCCATCCTGGAACCTGCTTTGTAGATCAACCTGGCTTTGAACTCACCAAGATCTTCCTACCTCTGCCTCCTGAGTGCTGGAATGAAAGGCATCCAAAACTACTGCCTGGCTAATTTCTGTTTTTTGTTTTTATTTTGTTTTTTGTTTGTTGATTTGGTTTGGTTTTTTGAGACAGGGTTTTTCTGTGGCTTTGAAAGCTGTCCTGGAACTAGCTCTTGTAGACCAGGCTGATCTCAAGCTCACAGAGATCTACCTGCCTCTGCTTCTTGAGTGCTGGGACTAAAGGTCCCAGACTAATTTCTTTTGTTTTAAACTTCCTAGTTTTGGGTACTTTGCTAAGTTGACCCAAGAAAACCAATACAGAAAATTATTTTCTCCATAGTCACTTTGTCCTGCTCCAATATGTATTCTTTATTCATATCATTTCCTAATGAATTTGATTTTTTTATCTGTTTATGTGTGGCTCACTCTCCCAATTTACTGAGTTCCTTCTCCAAGACCATCCTTTTTTTTTTTAAGATTTATATATTATGTATACAGGAGGGCACTTGATCTTATTATGGATGGTTGTGAGCCACCATGTGGGTTCTGGGAATTGAACTCAGCACCTCTGGAAGAGCAGTCAAGTGCTCTTAACCACTGAGCCATCTCTCCAACCCTCCAAGACCATCTTCTTAAAGAATGTCTGAAGAAAAAAAATGTTAATTTTGTTTTGTGTTTATTAGTGTTTTTCCTGCATGTATGTTTGTGTCATGGTGTTAGATCTTGGAGTTATAGACAGTTGTGAGCTGCTCTGTGGGTGCTGGGAATTGAACGCAGGTCCTCTGGAAGAGCAGTCAATGCTCTTAACCACTAAGCCATCTCTCCAGGCCCTGTGAAGAAATTTTAAAGTCCTAAAATGTCTGAAAATATCCTCATATATCTGAAAGTATGTCCTCAAATAACCTTTATTGTATTTTTCCTTATTGATTTGATAGACCCTAGAAATATAAATTTTGATCAATATTATTGGACATTGAATTCTAGATTGAAAAAAGCTTCCCTAAAGTTCTGAAGGCTTTTCCTTTGGTAAAATATTCTCTTTTTAAAGATTTATTTTTATTTATTTATGAGTATCTGTGTGGTTGGCTAATCTTGGTTTTCAAGTTGACTACAACTAAAGCCCAAACTGCTAGTCACTCCAGTGAGTCAATTTCTTGATTAGATTATTTGAAACAGGAAGACCCACCCATATTCTTGGCCACACCCTCTCAAGGCAGCTCAGATAAAAGGACTTGGATATAGGAGGTGTTGCTTTTGTCTATGTGTCCTCATCTTGCTAGCAAGTTTACTGACCCATTACTTTAGCTGCTATTTTATCCAACTTCTCCAGGATTCCTTTCAAGGTAGACTAGAGACAGAGCAGCTCTCTAGGAATCCTCCAAGACTCCAGCCCCAGATTGGGACTACTGAGACACCCAGCCTAGTGAATTAACAATGACATGATTCTCGGCCATTCCATCATGAGTAAGCCATTGTTGAACTACCCAGACCACAACCTATGAGGCAGCTTGATAAACCCCTTTTAATCTATGTGTTCTCCCCTTAGAGAGTCCTGACTAATACATTGAGTGCCATGGTGTGATTATGCCACATGTATGTAGGTGCCCAGAAAGGCCAGAAGAGGGTCTAATTGTTTGGAGTGGATTTATAGGAGGTTGGGAGGCACCTGACATGGGTACTGCAAACTGAACTCAAGCACTCTGGAAGAATAACAGTGCCTATAACCATTGAGATGTTTCTCTAGCTCCCAATTGCATGAAAACTCTTTAGAAAGTATAGGCATGCCAGTTGGCTGTAGTGGTATACATCTTTGATCCCAGAACTCAAGAGGCAGAGGATCTCTGCCAGTTCAAGGCCAATTTGGTCTACAGAATGAGTTCCAGAATAGTCAGAGCTACTACACAGAGAAACCCTGCCTCAAAAAAACAAACAAAAAATTATAGACATACCTAGTATGGAAGGGCATGCTTTTAATCTTGGCATTTGAGAGGCAGAAGGCAAAAGCAGACAGATTTTTATGGCAGCTAGGATTATATAGTGAGGCCCTTCCTCAAACAAAGGACACACACATGCATACACACACACACACACACACACACACACACACACACACTCACACACAAACACTGAGCATGGTTCATACCTGTAATCTCAGCACTTGGGAGGTGGAAGCAGGAGGATCAGGAGTTCAATGTCATCATTGGCTACATAGCAAATTCAAATGCCAATCTGGGGTACATGATACTCTATTTTGAAAAGCAAAGCTAGCAATTACAAAAATTTAATGGCTTTATTTTTTTATATTTAATTTTTTATGTGTCTGAGGCTTTTTTGCCTGCATGCAGTATGTGTATTACTGGCCTGTGAAAGCCAGAAGGCATTGGATTTCCTGGAACTGAAGTTACACATGGTTGTGAGTCACCATGTAAATTCTGAGAATCGAACCCAACAGTTTGGGGGAGGACCATAATTGGCACCTGCCAAGCTTCATGGAATGTCAAGGATACATGTTCTCGATACCTTAGCGACTTTGTTCTCCTGGCTGAAGTCCAATTTCTTTATTGTCACTTTTCCCTCCTTCCCTTATTGTA